CCCAGGCTACGTTTTTCAGGGATGGGCCGGAACCGGGTCATCATCCTCGCGTTTGCTGTGCCAAACCAGATACGCCATGGGTTGATTGGGCATCCCGGGACGGGACAGGGGGGGGCATCGGTTGAACGATTGTTGTCGTTCTTGACCAAGGTCAAAGCGTCCGCCTCGAGACATGAGTAACGCGAAACAGTTTGTTCTCCCGACAGAGGCATCGCCAACAACAATCGGGGCGCTCTCACACGCTGCTGTGGTGTGCTACCCCCCGGCAAGGCAATCGGCCACGCACGAGGGGGGGGGGGGGGAGGGGTGACGTGGCTCGCGGACAAGATCGCAAAAAAACAACGACGATAACGGGAACCGTAAAAAAACAGTAGCGAAAACCAAGGGTCAACTCACAATCACAAAGTCGCTCGCCACACGCAGGCCGTGTAACGCCCCCGCGCATCCCATCAGGCCCACCATGGTCCGGTCCACAGATCGCGGCAGACCCAGGTTCTTGATGAGGTCGCAGTCTAGGCCAGGGCCGGAAAAACCCGTCGACGATACGACCACTAGCTTCGCTATCTGGGAGACATCGACGCCGGACTCTTTGATGGCTCGAAGCGATACGTCGCACACGAGCGGGGCCGCCTTTTGCTTAAACTTGGCGAGGCGGACGTCCACAGGCACCTTTTCGAGGTGTGCAGAGTTGTTGTGGTTGTTGGACGGAAGACGGCGGCACGGCAATGATGGCAGGGGGTAAGGGGCATGGTGGTCTGTTTTAAGGCTGTGTGAGAGATGTGTATAGGAAGGGCACCTCACAAGCGAATACAGATGCAGTCGGTGTGGGAGGTACATCTGACGGCAAATTTTGTGCGTGGGTGTTTTAGTACTCTTCGTCACGGGGCAAGGGAAACGGCCACAACCAGCGGCTGCAGCAGCCGCAGCAGGACCGTCAACAAACACCTCCCCTACAAACTGCAACGACGACACGAGCGGCAGCGGCAGCAGAAGGACCGTGCACAACACAACCACAAAAAAGCAGCAGCAGCAACTGAGACAACAGCGGCAGCAGCAGCAGCAGGACCGCCAACAAACTACAAACCACAATGACGACAACGCAGCAGCAGCAGCAGCAGCAGCAGCAGCAACCTTTCACCCCACACCTCATAGCTCCCGTCAGCCGGGAACAGCGCCTTGTCTCCCTCGGCCCGCTTCTGCGGGGTGAAGTCCGGCACCGCGAAGTGTCGGCTGCCGATGCACGTGTTGCGGTACAGGCGCTCGAGCGTTGGTCTCACGCTCTTGGTCCCGGGTACCTTAGATGCTACGCGAAGTGCCTGTGGGGTGATTGGGTTTTTCGCAAGAATGGTTGGGTTGGTTGGTTTTGAGTCGGAGTGATCCTCCTGTGAATGACGGCCTGCCACACGGCAGAACTTGCCCATCATGAAAGCCGCATGCTATCTTTCAAGGAGCTGTACGCTTTGATCGCCGTGCGTGTATGAAGGCCATGTTTGTGGCATCGATACAGCAAAAAAAATGCTATTGGAATTAGTGTACTTAAAGTTCGGCAACATCGACCGCATACCGCATGCTGACTACACCGGGTTTACACGTACACGGTACACGGATCAGGGAATGGGAATCCTGCCGTTCTCTTCTGCCGCAACTGCTCGCGACTGATAGTATTTTCGATTCCACATAAAACACATTTTCCAATTGCGTCTACAGCAGTGCCCATTCCAACCAGCACGCCCCATGCTACTATCAACGTCTTTCAAAAGCACAGCAGGATTGCATCTAGACAGCTTTAGTCCTCTCCACCGTGAACCTCTCTACAAGCATTTCCCCAACCGTTGCGAAATTACAAGATACCAGTGCACCTGTTCTTGTGTGCAGCGATATTGCGGGGTGCCGGTAGCAACGGAAGCGATGACGGCATGTACGGTAGAGCCCGATCTCTCCCCGTCCCTGGAGTAGAAGCCCTTCGCCTTTCTCACTGATCGCAGCACTGTCGGCGGCGGGGTGGGATGGGGAGAGATAGCACGCGGCAAGCGTTATATTTCCAAGGTAAACTTGCATTCCACGGAGCCCCATGCCTCAAGCCTTGTATGCATATGATAACCAGCAGCAGCGCTGATGCAGTCACACATGTGCAAACCTCCCTGCTGAGGACTTCCAACCAAAGCACATAGAGCAACACCTCAATCCTACGCAAGTAGAACTTGGCCAAGCTGCAACGTCATGGAACCAACATGAACACAAAGAATGATTGTCTGCCAACAGCAGCATGTGTACGTGTCAACAGCAGTGACAACAACAACGGCAGCCTTGTTTACACACTTCAATCTCCCGCCAATTTCAGCGCTTTTCGACCCAACTCTCTCACAATAGTAGCCGTGGCTGTTACTACTGTCAGCACACCGTGCTCGCCCAAGGCTAGTCGAAACACCCAGCAGTGAAGAAGCAACCCTGGTGTGTGAAGACCGGCACTTCGTGAGTGAAAGGTCGCCCGCAGCTACACGATCGTTTGCTTCATAGGAGGATCGTTCGTGCGCGCGCGGCGTCTTGAGATGGCGACACGAAAAGTTCCCCTGAAAATTTCCCAACGACAACACTTGCAATCGGCTGGCAACGACAGCCAGCGAGCACGGCCCTCTAGGTCTCTCGAGCATCGGGGCAAAACCGCTGTCTTCTTTCCCCCACGCCTTTCACAACAGATGCGTGGCGACAGAAGAGGAGGTGTGGTCGCCATGACGTTTCGACATTTGATACAGGAAGGCGGAGACCTCTCGGGGCTCGCGAGACAGACCGCTCCAAAACTCACCCACGAGGAACGACAGCAGGGGGACGATGCAGTACGCCAGGACTATCTGGATCGCATGGTCGGCCGGCATGGTTGCTGCTTTTCGGCCGTTGGGAAAGGGGACGAGGGCTGCTGTTCGTTGAGGACTAGACAGATCAACCGGCAACCGCGGTTGGTTGGGGGGAGACGTGATTGGCGGATACCGTGGGGTCCCCAAAAAAAAAGAACCCCTATACAGTATGGCAACAACGTACTTGTACGTACGTCACACACGTGGCAGATTTTGCCGTCGTTTGTTGTGGATCCTGACTGAGCGTCTATTGCCATGTTGCTCTGGTGCCGACGAGTAAGGTCGGATGACTGTAGTATGTTTGTTTTTCATTATATCCATCTAGTGTATTTTTGTACCCTCGGTGTGGTTCGCTTCATCGGTGCTGGAACCGCCGATGTGACGGTCGATGCATCCTGCAGAAAATTGAGGAAAATGCCACGCCCCCCGGATCCATTCCTTAAAAGCTCGACTATTACTCCACGGCGAAGAGGATGCCAAAGTCGAGCGACATCTTTTTGGAACGCTCTGTTCGAGATAGTCTCAACGCCGCCGTTTCCCCCGCGGAGTTCATTTTTGCGGCAGAGAAAGCGAGCTTTAGAAACTGTCCATGCAACGGGGTTCTTCGTATCTTTCGTATCTTCCGCAGGACTGCCGTGAATCTCCGGTTTCTCCGAAAAGTACTGTAGAACCACCTGCGCTGGCCCGCCGCTCACTCACATAACACAAAAAACACCTACATTTCTGGCAGGGGTTAAAACCTCACTGCTGTGTCTCGAGGTCTCAAGTCTAAACGATTGTCCTCAAATACTATCTACAATTACCAACACACAGAGAGCTGCAGGAGGAGCTGTGCGTGTTCCAAAGTCGTGCGTCTTCAGCGCATGTGATCCGACAAAGCTGCCGTTTGGATTTTGGGGGTTTTCTGTTTGTCGGCACCAAGACATAATCAAACGGCAGGCGTCGACCTGTACCTAAGCATGAAGCTCGCCTGATGTAAAATACTGCACATGCTAAAACGAGAAAATGCCTCGTCGACATCATCAAACAGGGGGCACTGTGTCGACAAACGAACAACGTCCCCGAAGTGTCCCCCGAGAATTGTTTGCGGAGACCGTTCATTGTTTTTCATCACGGCACACGCGGAGACCTAATCTTCGGTGTACCCGCCGAGAGATAGGCAGGGGGCGGGATATTTTAAGAGAGCGTCGGGTTTTGACGTCATTAAGAGCGCGTGCAACAATTCTTGTCGTTTCAGTAGAGGTGTCATTTTGTCGCTGGAGCTCCAACGAATTCGTTCGTTCAAGATGCCAAACTCTGAATCTACATGTTCAAGACCAGGTCCAACTTTTTGGATGGTGTCCCCGCATCTGCAGTCAGTTGTAGATATTGTACCATACGGCAGTTTGTCGCGTTCAAGCAACCAACCATCAGCAGCACCGAACACGTGCACCAAGGCAAACGTCGTTGTTGTTGTCGTTGTTGTTATTGCTGTCCAGAAATAATATCGAAAGGTCGTCTGGATCTCTTTTCAGCACCTGCTGCGCGTCCTCTTGTCTGTGCGACAGGGACCGAACCTTCGAAGTAGCACAGTAAACCCAACTAAGTACCCATAACAGAGGGTACGTACGCTGAAGACCCATTGCAACACCCACTCGGAAGCTGGGCGCAAGAAGCTATCCTCGCATCCCCAACGGAGCCAACCGTGCATCGTCGTCGGTTGGTGTTTTCGCCGACGACCAGGCCAATCCCACTCCACACCTTGGATGAGCGAAAAAAGGGCGAGACAACTGCTTTAGTAGACTGTTTATATATCAACGTATATAAAATGCAGTACCACCATGCTCTATCCTCCCAGTATCTTCACGCCCCTTTACTATATATCCCGTCCCTTCCAGATAGTATACACCCTTATTGTACTGAGTCCTCCTACTGTAGTTGCGCATCCTTCAGACTGATACCCGGCCTTGATGGCACAAACTTCCACTGGATGACAATACCACGCACAATGCACGCTTTAACATACATAGCTCGTGCCAACCGTACATGTATGAGAGGTCGTCTTCGTTTGGGGTTGCTCAACCAGGTCCTCCCCTCTTTCACGCCTCCTTTCGCAATTCAAGAGCGCTTCTCTCCTTCCTATCGGCGTGCTCACTTCTCACCACCGCCACCACCGCCACGTGCCTCGCGCACTGCCTGCGTCAACTCCTCGTACGAACTCGCGCCGTTAACCCTCAGCACCCTGCCTTCGTTGGCTTTCGTCCAGCCCTTCTCGGCAGACCGCACGTTCACAAGGGTCAGCGTGCCTTTGCCCCCCTTAGCTCGGATCTCGTGCTGGCGCGTCACCTCGAGCCAGTCGTCCAAATCTCCGCCGAAAAACAATGTGTGCTGCGGCTCGACGTGGCCGGCGGTTGAACCGAGGGCCGCGGCGGGATAGGTGCCGACACCCCCGCCGGCCTTCTTCTTGAGTGCGGCCGGGGCGATCGGACTTGAGTCTTCGAGCGCAGCAGCAATCCGCTCGTAGAAGCGGAAGCGGGGTTCGCCGTCCCCCCGAACCAGGGTCCTGAACGTGGGCGTAGCCGGACCCTGGCTTCGCTCTTCGTGGATGATGCGAGCCGTGTCGCACGCGAGGGCCGCCTGGAAAGCAGCCGCGTCCGCCAGGCTCTGGCTCCCAGCACTCTTGCGCGACTCTTCCACCTGTCTCGGTTTTCCACGCGCGACGACAGTGCAAACGAATGCAAGAGAGGGTGGTCTTATGGTAGACTTGACCCCCTGATCGCAATGCAAACACTCGTCACCGATTGTTTCTCCTATTAAAACAGCAGAATTGTATCACTTTGATGCATGCGCCGAGAACAAGGGGGCTGGGTGGCTGATAGGTGAACATAATTTCAAACGCCATCCTCTGCACAGCAGGATCTGCGCCATCGTAAGGTTCATCTCCCGACTACGGGCCACGCACAACGCACCTTCGACAGAATTGTGCCCACGGTATCTTTGGAGCCCAGTGCGTGGTGTCCACCGCCGCCGATCCTTGCCTCTTGGTCGGTGAAAATGAAGTGCACACGCGCGTCGTTGCTGGGAGCTGGTGCCGGTTCTTTCCTCTCCGGGACGCTTTGGCGAATGCCGAAGACGCTTTCTCCCTGCGGCACCTTTGCGTCGGACATGCCTGGGCTGCCAAGGTCGAGGTATCCAGCGACACTGGTCGTGGCGGAACCCGTCAGTCTCGCCGCACAAATGACCGACATGCCCCCGGGGCCCGTACCCAGCACGTGGGGGTTTGCCACGAAAACCGAGGCATCTTCTAGATCGTCCCATTTCTGGCGAGAGTAGCTGTACACGGCGAGGACGATGTAGCGGGCTTTCGGGAACCCTTCTCTGAGCTTGGCGAAGTCTATGGTGCAGGTTTCGCGAGCGCCGTCGGGGTAGGGCGCGGTCACGACGTCGCCCGAGTGCTGTACACCAGCGATGGATAGGTTCGGGGTCGAATAGCTGCAGTCGGCCAGGTGGTTCCAGTCGGAATCGTACACCTGGCACACGTTTCAACGGCGATGCATCGAGTGAAACGTCCGGTATCCGTCAGAACATAAAGGCGGAGAAGACCGGTTTCTTCACGAGAGTCCTTCTCCAACAATAAGGATGAAGCCCCCGCCACAAGGATGTTGCATTGAACATTAACGCTGCAGGCGTCTCTAGTCATTCATTGTAGCTCACCATCACCGACAGGTCAAGGTCGATCCTGTCGCGAGATCCCTTTGGCTCGCACCAAGTGATGCCGACCAAGAGTTCCTTCATACCCCCGGCCCCGAGCTGATCCAGGCAGAGGTCCTCTCCTCTCCACAGCTGGGCCCTGGTGTACTTGGGCAGCGGCGGCGGCACTCCCGTCCTGACGACGTTCTCGCGCAGCTCCTCAGTGTACGATATCACGCCAACGACGCCGTTTCCCTTCGCGCTTTTATCGTTGCCACCCTCCGCTCCAGCCTCGCCGGGGTTTGACTCTGATTCCTTGGCGGGCCGGGCCTTTTGGTCCGTTGCAACGGTCGCCCCCACGATGACGCCCGCCTCCACACAAGACCCGTCGTCCCTGGTTTGTTCCGCGTCCATAGGAACGGGCGAGTCCCCCCGGGCGCCGCCTGGGATTCTGGCGAGAGGCGACGACAACGCCGGCAGCGAGCCTAGCTGATCCATCTTCTGGGACAGCGCCGAGACCACCAGGCCGACGTACGCGTCGACGCACGGCTGCCCGAAGCTGGTCGAAACCGTGCGCGGCCGGACGATCTGGTGCCGTTGCCCTTTCTTGTCCGCCACGCTGTACTCCCGCATCACCCTCACCTCGTCCGGACCCTCCTTAACCTCTGCCGCGGCGCCGGCGTCGGCCCCGTCCACAACCGGCCCACTGGGGCAAGCCTCGCCGTCGGTTTTCGATTTCTTGCTCGGCGGTGGTTCCGGGTGGACATGCGGCACAACCTTCTCGGCGGTTTCGGCCTGTTGGTCCAAGAAGGCGGCGAGTTGGACGTTCGGCCTGTTGTTTGCTTGAGGTTGTTTGCGCTTGCGTCGCGCCCTCCGCGACAGCGGTGCCGCCGCCTGCGCGGGGGAAGGGTTGGCGGCGTCTTCTTCGACTGCGTTGTTGTCGGCCTCGATCCTGTTGAAGGCCTTGAAGGACGCCTCGAACGCTTCTTGGCCGAGAACCGACACCTCGGTACTAGTGAACGTCTTCTTGAGCAAGGTGTGCACCTGACGGGCGTGTGGCGGCGCGGCGACCGTTTTCGGTGAGAAGGAGGGACAGGTAGAGTGAACTGATTTGCTTGACTGACCGACACCTAAACTGAAACTGATTCCTTTCTCTTTCACCCGAAAGAGACATGTTTGTGGTACTTGGATATGAGTGCGATCTGTGCATCCTCTGTGGGGGATACGCGTATGGGAAGTATGGGTGTGATGGGTATGTCTGCGGTTGAGGACCAAGTGCGGGGCCTCCGGGTGAGCACACGACGGTGTGCTCCCGGCGCTTGCCTGAGGGGCTTGCGTGTTGAATACCAGCTTGCCTGAGGGGCTTGCGTGTTGGTGACCAGCTTGCCTGAGGGGCTTGCGTGAAGGATATATAATACATGGTCCTTTCTCATCTGCTGTTCCTGGGATAACATAGCACCCAGTCTCTTACACCACAGACCGTTGAGGGCGGCAGGGTACATGACTAACAAGACAAGACAGTTAACTGCGTGTCCAGGGATAAATCTACAGCAAACGAAACAGTAGTATCCGAGAGTAACGGCAGCTAAAACAAGGTAGAAGCAACACCGATAGCGGAAGCACTGCAGCAGCAACAGCGGCAGAGACGACATACGCATATGTCGTCCGGGCATTCCGGGGTCTCACCTTGAGCAGGTCCGACATGGGAGCGCCGTCGATTGACTTGAGCAGCTGAACCTTGACTACCTCCACTGGGAAGTTGATCATGGCCAGATTGACGACGTTCCGGAGAATCTGAAAGGGGGACAAACAGAAAGACGCCCGGGAGGTGAAAACCATGGTTAGAAAATCTGAAAATATATTCAAAACGTGCATGGGGGAGGTGATGGGCTGGCAGTATATTCGTTGTCTTGCTAGTTCAAATAATGTTAACAGTCGAGAGAGCGTAATGCCTAGTTAACACACAGCACGCCGTATCCTCCCCGATATTACAGATATTGCACCTGTCTCGAAGTAACCTCGCCGCACTCGAAAATCGCGTGCCAGGTGACTCTTCTGTTGCCGTGGGCGCACAGCATGCTCTCCACGCTCGTGCACCGGGGCAGCGGGATCTTCGCTCCCGCCAGGCTCTCCTGGAAGCCAGGCGCGGTCCATTCGTCGGCCACCCGAAACAGGGGGTCCTCGGCAATCCGAGCGAGAGGGGCGGCAATGAGCTCGTGCCAGGGTTTCCCTGCCTTGGCGAGGGCGTCGTACGCGGCTTGGGTTCGGGGGTAGCGCTCGCCCCTCAGAAGCGCTTGGAGGAGGAACACCTTGGCCTTGTCCGGTTCTGTTTTGGTTTTGCCCTCCCTGTCTTTGAGCACCTCGGCGATGTGGATGCACTTAAACAGGTTCTTGAAGAAGGCACCGAATCTGTTTTTCGTGTCCGCGACGTGAAACAGATTGATCAAGCATCGACAAACGCGCAACGAACGGCAGACAGCGAAAATGAGTCGTGAACGTCAGACGTCGCGTTTGAGGGAGCGTGGGGTTTTCATGAAAATTGTACTTCGAAGATAATGGTAGTGTCATGCGACGCAGGAAAACACCGAGAAGCTGCATGACGCACAAGCAACGACCGAAGTGCATACCACACTAGCAACAACAAGGACCCCAGCAGCAACATCATCGAGAAACTCGACCAATCGACGTGCACACTCATTCTCACCTGAAGACGCCCAGGAGAGCGAACCACGAGCTTTTCGCGAGGGCCTTGACCATCGCCCGCCGCACCGAGCGAGGGATGCTGAGGCCCTTAAGCTTGGGAAGCGTGCTCACGTCCGCCTTCAGGGCATCGACGGCGACTCCTCCCATGAGCATCACCAGCGTGCGGATGGAGGCCACGCCGCCCTTGACCATGAGGGATGACATGGCTGAGGGATAGCGTTGTAGGGGCCGAGGGAGGAAACGAGGTTTATTTTGGGTTTGACGGTACTATACTGCAGCAGACACGGTGGGGGTATGAGGGCCGGAAAGATCCTTGGTAGACAAGGACGGGCTAACCCCAATATAGGGGTGCAGCGAACCCAGCGATGAGTCAAATTCTAGTCAAAGAAAAAAAAAAAAGAAAGAGGAAAAAAGTTCTGAAAGCTCCCAAGGAATGGAACTCACGACGACAGCTCGACTCTTCGGAAGGAGTTCTTTCCCCAGCCTTTTTCTCACCTTCGTGGTCTAGGAACTCCATATTCTTGGATTTCTCCACTTCTTCTTCCGTCACCATTCTCCACAGTCCCACCTTCTTGGATCCTGCTTTCCTCTCCGTTTTCCGCCATTTTTGTGCCGCCTCCGACTGCTTGGCAGCGGCGGGTGGCATGCCAGCAGCCGCGACGGAAGCCCACGATTTGGCGGGAGGGGCAGCCGGTGGAACAGCAGGAGGAGATTTGGCTGCGGGGAGCGCTGGGGCCGCCAGTTTGCGAGGCGCCACGCCGATGACCGTGGCTAGAACAATCGGCGTAGTTGTTCCGTTGGGCTTTTCCACCGACAGGCACGCCTTCATCAAGGCGGACAGGCCCGCGCCCGTCTCTCGGTCCACAAGAAGGCGAACCGTCGTTTTGGTCTCTTCCGCCTGCGTGTTGATGGAATCGTTCGAACGGAGAAGGGTGGAAGAGCAGGGGATACATAAAAGAAAAATATATCGTCATCTTCATTCAAAAACCGGACACAGGGTGTACAGTGTGCATTGCTTTGGCGTTGCTGTCAAAGAGGGTGCAGGAAAAAAAGGTCTGTACATCTGCCGTCACCGCGTCGCAGCCTAATGCTATTGTTGAGAAGCAGGTCCAATGATCCGATCGAAACATCTCCGACGTTTGCATAGACTAAACAAACCAAACCCACAATTCACCCCGGGCCCTCGCTTCCGCCATCGCAACAAACAACAACATAGCCCCGGTTTCTAGACAAATATGGGACTGGGTACCCCTCTTTGTGCGCATCGGGATGGATTTTTAGCACATCAAGCGATGTTTGTGAACAAGCCTACACATCGGATCAGCGATTTGTCTTGTGCAGTGCTCCTCACAAAACGCTTCAGACCCAATAACAATTTTGCCAAGCATCGCACCACAACCACCTACTCTCCTTCTTCGTTTCAAAGGAAGTTTTCAGGACCCTGTCAACGTGCTGGTTATCTCTTGAACAGAGTACGAGTTCACGTCAAACCTCCTGCACACGGGGCACTCGGAAAGCTCTTTACGGATGTCACACTGTACCACAACCAACTATAAACGCATACAGGTTACACACGTACACACCTGTGCGCCGGTCGGGAAGTTGGGGAGTTCCAGCAACGCCTTGAGACGGGCCGTCCAGAATGCTCTCGAATCCGCGGGGGTATCAGAGGCGACAAGGTGGACGGCCGCGGCACCCGCTTTCGCTTGCTCGTGGACCTTGCCAGTTAGAAGTGCCGTGCGCCAGGTTTCTCCGCTTTGTTGTCGCACAACGAAGAGCGGACGGTTGGTGGGGGTGTTGGACGGGTGAAATGCTACGAGGTTGTTATCTTCAGCGCGCCGAAGGTGCGGTACGAAACTACCGGGAAATATTGAGTTCAGCCTAACCCAAGTATGGTGATGAAACGAAAACCCGCGTCGGCGTGTCTGCCTCTAGTATGTAACCCCCAAGCATGCCTCGAACAAACTGCTTCCCCTCCCGCGCGGCACGATGGGCTATACCAAAACGACGGAAGGCGAGAACGAACCTGAACGCCGGATCCTGAAGAAGAACGCTCAGCAGGGCGGAGGGGGAGAACCCCTCGGGTTGCTTGATCAGCTTGTACCCCAGTCCCGCCAGCCACTCGTGCTTGAAGTGGAGAGACTGCTTCGCCAGCTTACACGTCAGCATGGTCCTGCACCACTCTTTGGGGCTGAGGAAACCCCACCTGCAACGAGCCAAAGGATGAGAAAAGGACGAGTACCGCACGCGGCCGCGTGCGTGTGAGTTACGGGGTCGATACGATTTGGTTGACTGCGAAATTGTTTAGAGAGCGTCAGGTGGGTGTTGTTTTTCATGAGCGATACAGCCGGCGACTTCTGACAAATCCGGGCCTTCCCTTGCCTCTTGGCTGTCATGCTCCTCCGACATCGAATTTTCAGAGAGTCCACCCAGAGCCCAAGCTCTCTGTCGTTTACAATACCGCTGTTTAGCAACCTATTTTTTCTAATTCATGGGGATGAGATTGCCGTCCCCCGTGAACCAACTCTACAATATTAGCCTAGCGGCGATTATGACCATGCGGTCTGCAACATATGGACTCATGCGAATCTCTCCGCCCTCTGATACTGCTGTAATTCGCTGTTTCACCATCGGTTGGAGTATATGCAAACAGAGGTGTGCATGTAGCGGTGATGCCCTGAATAATAATAGCGGTTATCAAACTTCGTGACACTCTGGAACGCTAAACCGGGACCACGACAGCTGTAGTCTTAGGATAGTCTCAAAACGAGAGAAATAATACAGTGAGGGGCGCTTTCGTTGACGTGCCATAAAGCCCGTTTGTTTGTTCACTGCTGCACGTACTGGAATCTGAAGACGAGAGAAAAAAACAGTAAGGGGCGCTTTCGTTGACGTGCCACAAAAAATAGGTCACGTTTGCAGTATCAGTTTGTCTGACAAGCCAATATCCCAATAACACAAGGTGTATGCCAGAGTTGTAGGCGATGATTTGTTGGTTTACCGTCGGCTCGTGGGCTACTACAGCGTGGTGTATCCTTTATCCGGTAGCAAAAAAAGATAGATCATGTCGTGGATCCAAACAGGGCCAGCTTTCCTCGCTGACCCAGCCAAAGCGCGAGGTGGGAAACCTCACCGAAGTCTCTAAAAGCCATCGTATTACTACAGGACACGGGCGAGTTATTTGCCTATCTCCCCCTCGCTAGCTCTCACGCCCTCATTGGGCTCTTACCCGATGTCCACTTCAGCCATCGTGTCGAAAAGAGTGGATAGACCAGCCGGTTGAGCAGCGAGCGGAGGCGCATCACCGTCATCAGGCGATCGGAGTGTACACCGCCGCACTAACTCATGAGGGATCTCTTCGAGATTCCCTGCGCCGCGAGCAAACATGTTTATGTCGAGCGACTATATCACGACTGTACTGGTGGCAGAGTAGAGGGTGAGCAGCAGGAGACAGTGAAGTGTGGGACTTGCATCGGAGGGGGTCGTGAAGTTGCCGCACGGCACAAGCACCGTTCTGCAGAACGTTCTTCATCGATCCAATGGGCCCCAAGGAGAGAACCAACCACCAGCAGGTGCAAAATAAACCTTTCCTACTGTGTCCTGTAGTCCGCTTCCTGCTGACCAAAAAGGGAGAGGCCAAGCTCATGAGGCATACATCCAGTCGACATTTCTTATTTTCGTGCACTTTGATGACCTACGCAGCACAGAGCAGATCAGAGATCGTCGTGGATCCACCCAACACGTTGCATACATTTCGGGGGGGGGGGGGGGATATACTCTGGAGGCCCCCTCAACGCTCCCCACAACTCCCCGCAGCGCCTGCTGCTGCTGGTAGCCGCTGTCCTGTGTCCTTCTCATTCGCTGTGCTTGCTGCACTTGGTGAACCTGCCGGGCTTGGTGATTCGGACTGTCGTAATGCCCCGGCGTAAAGCTGCCAATCCCATTAGGTGAGTGCTGACGATAAAAGGCCCGTTCAGATCTGCTCGATGTAGACTTCACAGGACAACGGCTAACGCACCGCATGTACACTACATGTATCGCAGTTGACCCCTACAGCAGTATGTAGTACTCTTGTACAACCAACAGGAACACTCACATCATGTTCCAACACAAGTTCTAGCTTCCTCTGCGTTGCTCTCAACCATAACTCGACTGTTGTTCAAGAACCTCAAGGTGAGCCACAGAGTTGGGCTCTGTCAGTAGCACCCTCTGGAAATGTTATATTTGAAGAGTACGGACGGCTCGTTACAGTAGTAGACCTAACGGCGAGACAACGTGCACTTGCAGCAGTACCTCACACGCCATGGGTTTTCTCTCGGGGAGGTTGTCATATCGCGAAAACGTCTCCCCTCATGGAAAGCTCGGGCTGAATCAACCAAGGTTTTTATGTTTCGTTCCCGAAGGTGCCAAATAGTATTTGTTTGCATGGTACGCATGCATCCCTGTCACTGCCACTTTAATACTGCAGGACGTCGCGTCTATTACCGTATATGACACAAGATAACACACCCCCTGGGCCGATTTTCAAAGCTCGATTTCTCAACAGCAGGAAGAGTCACAGCGCCGAAAACGGCGGCGTTGGAACCGTCTCGTCGAGAGGTTTTCGAACATGTATTGTTTCGTTTATGCATCCTCTTCGTCGTGGAGTAATCGAGCTTTGAAAATCGGTCCAGGGGGTGTGTTATCTTGTGTCATATACGGTATACAGCAGTACTGTACATTGAAGACGACAACTTCAAAGCAACGGGGCAAATTGTCGCGAGAAAGAGAGATCCCCAACGCAGCCGTGAGACGCGTTTGACGCCTTTGGCGTTGTCCGAGGGAGAATACTCTTGGCGACAGCCGGCGGTATAGTCTACAGAATGTCTGCATTTTAGAATGAGGATCACCATCGCCAGGACCCAGGGCCACAAGCGACAAGAATACTAAACACGGCAGCAACGCAGCGAGGGAGCGGGCCAGCACAACGCGGCATGCCAATACCTCCAATTGCGTCGAAAGCAAGCTGAATATCTCGAAACTTTGAGCGCCTCGGCTATGGCTCGAAGGTTTACTCCGGCAACGAACATCACGTTTTTGGTACTCTGCAGTTGAAGAATTGAAGAACACCAGAGATTGTGTATTCACCCCTTGGTAAAAGAGTGGATCGCAACTACAGCTGGAACTCTTCGCAGATATGATCGAGCTCGTTCATATGTACTGGTGCTAGTTGGCAGGGGGGCGCATGTACAGTCCAAGTTGCAGCCCTGAAAATGTGTGGTAACGCTGATTTTTTTTTTCTCAACCAGATCACTCTTTTCTGCGTCGATGCCTGCTGCCGTCAACGTTGTCCTGCTATGAACGGTCTGCTCTTGCGAAAACAACAACTGCAGGCGGAATGTGACCGGGGACGGCATCGGAGGCAGACCTCCTGCCCCCGCCCCTGGCCCTCCCGCCGACGGCGGTCTCTCGCCCAGTAGCGGTGTTGGTGATGGCGGCGGCGCGGTGCTGCCGAATTCTTCAGCCACGGTGGTGGCCGGGGGGTTAGAAGGGGTGGGGGCGGGGGAGCTAGGAGGGGTGGGGGAGGGAACGGTCATGGAAGACGAGGACGACGAGGAGGAGGAGGACCGGGTCAACCCCAGCTCTTCAGGCAGGAAACGGCAGAAAATGTAAGGACTGCTGTGTTTCGTGTGTTTGTGGATTTCTCGCCACACAGACTTTCGTTTGTGCGTGTCCTGTGGACACCAGCGCAGTTCTCCTATCTCAAGGCGGTATTTAGTCGTCGCGTCCCCGTGATACTTTTATTCTTGTTTGGTGGCGCTTGTTAGCGTGATGACCACCTGGGTATCAACGGCATTCCCGGTTGGAAGAACCTATGCATCACGCCCTGCTTTTGTCTAACTCTATTTTTGTCAACGCAGAGAGCACCGAGAAGGATCTGCCCTCGTGGTTGGCGACGTCATTGGTTCGCGGCACCTAGCTCTCTACCCGCCGGGGTCTCTCCGAGCACTTCGAGGTACGCTGAGAAAGAACAGTCTTGCATACGGACAAGCCGAGCCGAGGCACGTAGTAACTCGTGTCGAAGAACGCTTGCTTATCGTTGTACGCACAGCAGTTGTGCTTTTTTTATGTCTGGGGGTACGTAACCCCGTAATTACCAAGGCGGGACAGGGGCACGAAGCTTGATGTCGTTGCGGAGGCACCCTCCAGGTGCTCTTTCGTCTCGCTGTTGACCCCACATGTGCCAATCAAGGTTAATAATACATTGTTTTCTCTCACTACAACAGGATAGTATTTATAGTGGAGGGCATGGTTTCCGGCGACCTGGTCTAGGTTTGATCTCACCCGCCCCCACCGCGCTAAGCCCCGCTTTCAACTTGAAATTCTGACGTGTCAATTTTTCGCTGATATAACCTAACCACACACAAAATAAACCCAGAATCGAAGAGGGTTATCCCATAAACTCCCCCGCGCCTCCTTTTTTTTGCCCCACCACATATATCTCTGAAACACACCTGCACAGGTCTCCGCATTGTGGTTCCGCCGCCCCCGGGCAGAGCGAGTCTCGTAAGAAACGCTTGCGTCGGCCGTTTCGCCGTCGGCGACGAAGACGAGGACTTCGCCACCGAGGAGAGGGGGTCATCTCGTGAGTTTTTCCGGAAAAGGAAAAAGAGGCGTTGCGTCAGTATCGTAGTCCACTACATCATTGCGGACCCATTAGTAAAAAATATTCATTCAAATACGACACACAACGCGCCCAACCTGTATTTTTTGTGTGATGTACAATATGACAGATTGTACGTCCGCGAGCCGCCGAACTCACGACTGACGAACACGGCAATGTTTTCAGGGCTTAACGTGGCGACGAATTTACACCTCGTGCCGCGATATCCAGGGACGATATGATGGGAAAAGCAAAACTTAGGTGTTCCGTGCCGGTGGGCGATCTCCTTTGAGTCTTCGGACGGTTTCGTTTGATTCGCCCGCATCTGTGGCCTTGTTCGGTCTCTCCGCATGCACCTCACACGGAAGATCTTGTGTGTAGTGGCCCTTGTTTGGTAGCGGCCCCTCGGATGGCAAGAACGCTTTGCAAGTAGATGATGCGAGCGGTGGGGATAAGTGACGAGACTATTGCGAACGAAAACGCGCCAGGTTTTTGTTCGAGTTGTTCGTTTTTCATCGTGGGTCGTGGGAAAAAAGGATGTTCGTGGAATCGAACGTTGGCACACGTTTCGCTTGTCCTTTGGGACAAGATATTGTCATCCTGAAGTGCACGGCTCGCGCCTGGTGCGTTGCGTTTGGTGTAGACTGCGACTCTGTTTAGCGATGACCATGGAGGCCAGCAGATATATCCGCGGGGTGTGGGTGGGGGCATGCGAGCGTCTAGAAATGGCATGTGAGGAATGAAATGCCCGGTGGATTCCTTCGATGCTTCCTTGCTCGACAGAAAAAACATGGAGTCTGCTCGATAGTGCATGCCATGGTACATGTATGCATGTCGCGGTGCCCCCCGAGGTACTGATTTCCCAGAGAGCACGCCTGAAATAGCCTCGTGATTCCGTTCGTGAAAAGCCCCCGCGGGACGTACATCCGTGACCCGCTGAATGTCACCCCGCACCCTTTGCCGTACACTTCGCCGTGCAGAAAGAGTCTCCACGGGGGTCATCGTCGAGTTCTGTGAGGACTGGGGGGTCGTCGGAGGTATGCACGGCTGAAGGGATATCCGGTGTGCTGAACCCCCGTTTTACCCGCGCTTTGTCTCCCCTTCGCCCAAATATGCGACAAGCAAATTCTCGTCGCGTGCTGCTCCACGCGGAAGACTTCTTTTCGCGAGGGGCGAGGCTAGATCTTCACTCACGAACGTTTTTTTTTGCACGAAGGCATCATATAGACATCAGCGCTACTTATACATTTTTGTTGCTTATGATGACACTTGGTACCAATGCCGTGATGTGTGTCCCACCAAACATCCTCTCGCAGATCCTGGGGGGCGAGCGGTGCGATCGGGGATGATGCTGCGCGTAACGCCGGAGATTTTCGGCGCCTTCGAGGTGAAAGGGTTCAACACGACTGCGATCGATACCGCCGTAGCATGAACAACGCGTGTTTGCGGCAACGCTGAATGACACCAGCCTGATAGTTTACATGACACCAAATATCACCCCCAATTACAGGGTGATGCGATGTGGCCGCTCTCCCTCCACAACGAGCTGCCGATTTTACTTTTGTCGGCGCCGGAATCGCAAAGTCAATAAAGCAAACTTCGAAATAGTAACTCTCCGGACTCGGAACATACCCATGTCCGACCACCGACTACAACAGCATTGGCATCATTTGTCTTCCCCAACGAGGTAGTCGATTGATTAGGTGCAGGCTGTGTACGGCTCGCACGTTAACTCTCAGTCCCGAGGCTTTCCTTCTCGGAGGGCAAAGGAAGGCTATCACCAACCCTCTGGAGTTCTTCTTTAAGGGGTCCCACGCGACATGCAACACTCTTGTCTGCGCCCCCCCCACTCCGCTTTACGCCCCGTTTTCTCGACCCCTCCCCTGCCCCGTCCTCTCGAGGACGCGTGGGCAATGGTCTAACCGCGAAGGCATGCAAAACATGAGTACGCCCCCCCCCCTTGCTTTTGTTTTTGTGCTGTTGCGCCAGGATCTTGACCGCGACGGGTATGTTGCCATCACGGCCGCGAGGCCCGTCGCAGACAACACGCCTCCGCCAGGTGCCTCTTCGCCCTCTTCACTTACGGGTTCGGCACCGTTAACGGTTGCCCCGTCGTGCTCGGTCCCACCGCCACCTCCCGCAACATCACCCGCGCGAATGCCATCGACGTCACCGTCATCATCATCATCATCATCATCATGTGCTCTGTCGTACGTGTCGCTGGAGTTGCATCTCTTGTCGAAGGCGTTCGGAGAGGACGGGTGCGTCCGCCTGTTAATTTGTCGCCCGCCGTCACTGGACGTGTTGCAAGTCCGATGAAAGCACTGTCTAAGCCGTAAGCGGCAGTTGTTTTGGTTGTTTGTTCGGATTGGACCGGTTTGTCCTAGCTGTTAACGGCTGTCGTTTTGATTCTTTGTTCGGATTGAACCTGAGCCAGGGACACACGCTTGGCAGCTAGGCTAGGACCAGCCCAAGCATAATTTTTGGCATGGGCACAAGGGATCCTCCGCCTAGCCACGTTAAATCGGTGGACCCGTGTGTGTGATGGGGGGGGAGATCAAAGATCTCGATGCTGAGGACGCTAGCTGTACGTGTGTACCTGTGAGCCATCCCATTTGTTCGAAGTTTTTTGTGCCTTTCGGAGTGTTTTCTGGACGTGCCAGAAGGGGATGCGCGGGAGGAAGGCCTCTCGCCTTTTATTGGAAGTCTTACCTTCCTTTTGCTGGGCTTGCCTTCATTACTGTCGTGAGGAGAATTCGACCGTTCCTCTCCCTCGTCGACCGCACAGTCGAATAGGTTTACGTACGCAAGAATGAATCTCTTGCCACCATTGCTTTGGCGTATTGTCAGAAAAATCCCAGTTCGTGCGTGTCTCGGCCGAGATCCGAACCCACGCCCGACGACGTCAGAAGGTTAACGAGAATCCATAACTTTGTGTGACCAAGCAGGCTAGACAGTAATGTTTCGCGTGGCGCGGCTGTAGCTGACGCCCTCTCTCGATCCGAACACGTTTCCTCCGTCCCGTCCCGCCCCGTTCCGCAGACCGCGCCCGACGAGCGTGAGTAAATGGCAGCTCGTGATTGGTTGGTTTTTCCCGAAGGCGCTGGACGGGCATCACGGTGGTAGTTCGGGTACGTGCGCGGGTGTGCCTTTTCAAAGGTCATCTTGTGGCGTTTTTTTTTTTCGCTTGTTGTCGTTTTTTTTCACTCTGTCTTTCCAGACTGACTTTTTTCGATTTTCAGCAACATGTTCACATCGGCGCGTATATGTGTGTATCTACATAATCTTTGTTGTGGTCGGGCAGTGTAAATGAGAAGGTTGCCTCTCCCTTTCCGGAGAGGACAAAAGGCCGAGCATGGTGAAGGCTGCCGGTGTGCGCGGCGGCAGCACCCAGATCGATGTGGACCGTTTGTTGAGAAGGCATTCAACGATGACTGATGATGAGTCGGTGTTCTTTGCTCAAAGCCTTTTGCTTCTTCCTGAAGATATTCTTTTGCATCTATCTCCCACCGCTTTGCATCACCCAGCGATTGCCTCCCCGTGTCCGGCGGGCTCCGGTTACGCCCTGTTAAGAGACGCTCGGGTTCTTCGTTTGGCTCTCACCTGATTCTTCATCTCACGTATACCGTCCCGAACAATGCAAGATTCCACGTCTCCTCATCTCTGGCCGGGTCTATTTACACCCGCCCAGAAAGTACTTCTTGATTCGAGCAACCGGCGGGGGTTCACCTTACGTTTCCTTTTTTATTCTGTTTTTAAACTCGATGAAACCGTCCTGAACCGTTTAAGGGTCGCCTCCATCTGCGGCGGAGATCCTACACGCCCTGGATGCGGCCAGAGGCACCGACCCAGACCTTCGTAGTGCAATAGAACGAGGTAAAACTGACTATTCTACTCACAACGTGTTCTGAGCCTGATTGATTTGCGTGTACGTCGTTGTTGTCTCAGGCTTTGTTTGGGTGATTGCATTCAAAGATAGACAGGTGCAATGCACCGACGGGTTGGTGCTTCCGCATCACTGCCGTGCGGGATTTAGGCCGTGGAGGCCTTGAGTGAATCTGTCTCCTTACCCTCATTTCTCCGAAAGGAGAACATAATTTTGTCTGTAGGCTGCCCCCCGACCGCTTGTTTGACGCTGTTCGCTTACTCCGCTTGCTCTCCATGGCACCTGTTGATCGAATGATGCTCTCGCCTTTACCGCGTGCTCGCCCTCCCCCCCCCCCCCACCCCGGTGATTTTCGTGATTCGACGTCGCCGCCAACGTGGTATGCATATGTACGCAGGCCCTCCGACCCCGCTCATGGAGCTCCGAGAGCTGGTGGTCAACCTGAGACACCACCAGAAGGCCGCCATCCATTGGATGCTCGGTGTTGAGAAGGTGTTGGTATTGGTTTTCCCGTTTTTTTGCTGGGCATGGCATGCACGGAGTTCTTGCCAGAGCTGGCGTGTCCCGCACGGGTGCTCTGTTATTCCGCACTAAGCAAAAAGTTCACCAGGATTCTGAAGCTCGAAGAAATACCAAGGAGCAAAGGTGACTGAGGACATGTTTTGCTACCCGAAGAGTGCCGCGGGCGGCTGCATTCTTTAGTACAGTTTAGGGTAGTTTAGGGTTGAGGATGTTCTACAGGTGTGCGTCCCTGTGCGTGTAGTGGAGTTAGATAGATAATACGGTCAGAGGTTAGGTAGAGCATACGGCCAAGCGATCATGCAACCTTTTTTCGGCTTCGTGTCGCGTGCCACCGCGATGGTACGAAACGCAAGGCACGCCGCCGTCCCCCCTCCGTCTCCATCGCATGCAGAACCGATACCGAGGACATTCGTAATCACCACCGATTCCGCTGCTGGCTGCGCCCCCCCGCCCCCCACCGCTGCGTACCACGCCCACAGGGAGCGACGACAACTATGAACAAGCCTCCGAGCCAGGCTAGCGCCGAAGGCGTGGGTGTTGAAGACGAGGGCGAGGGAGAGGGAAAAGGTAGAGAGGAGGAGCAGGAGGAGCAGGAGGTAGGGCTGCTCGAGGCGGGTGGTAACGCGGACCGCCGCGCGGCGTCGGTGGCATCCGAGCAAAACGCTGTTCTCCTCGGATGGGTCAGACTGGCGCTCATCCCGCCCCCCTCCCTCCCCGCCGCCGCCCTTATGGCCAATGGTGCAGACAATTTCGGGCAAGAAGGAGGCAAGAACCGCCACCGAATACCGAGAACAAGTGACGACGACCGAGGTGGTGCTGTTTTAGGTGAGCCTGCTACTATCGCTGCTGCTCTGGTGCCGCATAGTGGGGCACAGAATGGCCGTGCTCCTGGGGACGGCAATGGGAGTGGGACACACGAGATGCAGGGACAGCTGCGGAGGGAACCAGAACGCCCACAGGCGGGCAGAAGAAAGAGTAGGAAGAAAGCGTCACGTGCGGGATCAGCGAAGGCTCCCCAATCGAAAACCACCACCACCACCGCCACCCTGTCGGGGGTGAAAGCAACGCTTACGGGAGACGAAGACGGACGCCGAGGAAGGACGGCGACGAAGCGGGAGACGCGCGTTGTTCGCGCGGGCCCTGACCAGGTGTGGTTCCACGTACCGTCGGCGAGGCTCGTGAGGGAGTTGCCGGAAGAGTGGGTGGCGTTTGCCAGGATCTCCGGAGGCGTTCTGGCGGATGTGAGTATCGGTGCGGCGGAGGCGGCCCGCGCAGGGGGCGTACGCGTACGCGTACACCCCGCTTCAACCGGTGGGCGGACGATGCCTCCTCAAGTTGGAGGACAGCAGTAGTATTGTTTGGATCGCCCTGTGATGGTTTTTTGGCGCTGTCGCGTCCAAGCCTCACGCATGAGCTTAAGTCAAGAGTCTCATGTGTTGCATGCCTTTTGTTTCCTTGGAGTACCTGTTGAATTGGGTCGTCGTTGTTCTGGGGGCCGGGGAAGCCGCACGTGTTTTGGTCGCTTTTCAGAAGTACTGAGGAGGTCGCGCTGTTTGGTGGCTTTAGCCGTGACGGTATAGGGTCCATTCCGTCCCAGAATTGACTCCTGACCGGCCTACCCGTCGGTTGTCCGGGTGCATTTATCCGCGGAACGAGTTTCAACATCCCAGCCCAGCGTTCCATGGAAATCAGAAACCCCTTTGTTGGATGTCTCGATGCGATTCTTTTTTTTTTCGCGGGAGCCTCGCCCTTGTTGCCAGACCCAAATCGCACGGACTCCATGCGCTTCTGCTCATTGAGTAACACCACGTCCTGGGCATTTTCCTTTTCGGCCTGTCTCAGGAAATGGGACTGGGGAAGACGGTGGAAATGCTGGGATGCATCCTGGGAAATCCATTCCGTTCGCCTGTGATCCACGGAACGCGGTTGCCTCCCGTTGGTTCCACCACCTCGGCGGTCACGAAAGACCAACGGGACAAGATCCATGATTCGCCGGCGCCACTCAAGAGCAAAAACGGTGAGTCGAAGGGTGCTCAACTTGCTGAACGGGTTGAGCCGCGTGCTGCCGGCCCATGCAATACCTCTGCGTTTTCTGGCTGCCCCGCCTACGGTTGTACCAGAGTTTGGAATTGGTCAAGTCGAGGTGTAAAAAATGAGTGGAGTCCAACAATTTGCTATACCGGGCCCTTCCTTTGGCAGGCTACTGGGACGACCTTACCCCCACCGACGAAGGGTCAGCGTGCGTGTGCGGGAGGGGGGACGACGAGCCGCTGGCCCCGGGGGACCTGTGTTTCGTCCAGTGTGACGCCTGCGGGTGGTGGTTGCACGGGGGATGCTGCGGCTTCGTCCCCGGGGTGGACGGAGAGGAAGAGAAGGGTTTCACGTGCGTTGTGTGCTCCTGTCTTGCCCTGCTCAAGGACCCAAAGGTGCACGCGCGCGGGTGCTTCGATGTTTAATATGGATTATATAGCTCATATTTCTACAAAAACTCCTGATAACTAGATCGCGGACCCCCTTCCAACCGACGTTCGCCTCTGTATGTGCGTGGTGTTTTATCTTCTTTTTTTCCCCGTGGCCGGTGTTTTCCTTTTTTCCGTGAAACGCGTTGGGTTTTGGGGAGTGCATCTCGCTAATCCCTGTAGGTGATGCGGAACAAACCGAATCAATCTGCCAAGCATGAAAGTCAAAGGGAAAAGGTTCCCGAAAGGTGGTGAGACACAGCTGTAGCCGTGACCGCCGCCTAAGCATGCGCAGTGCTAGTACGTTTCGGAAGATAACTTGGAGTCGGAGACGCACAGAATCATCTCACTCGCGTTCTCTGTGTCCTGTCCGTCCGCTCTGCTGCCCCCGTGCTCGGTTTCGTGTGGGGTTCGTGCTTCCCAGCGCTGCGGGTCTACCCTGATCATCTGCCCCCACAAGATTAGGTCCCAGTGGGAGCGTGAGATCCGAGCAAGGACGAAGGCTGGGGCGCTCAAGGTATGGGGGTATTCGCAGACGTGGTGTCGTAGTACGTGGACGAGTTGGAGCAGGGTCGAATCACGTGAGCCGTGTGCGATGTGAGCGGGTGGGTGAGGGGGGCGGCAAGAGGCAGTGCGACTGCGCTATTGGTACTATCTGCAGTCCCTCTTCGGTGTGCTGGTGTGATATATACCGGCACCGCCGACGAGTATGAATTTTTCTTCTTAACGTTCGAACCCCTCCCCAGCGAATGAACCATGACATGGTATTATCTTTTTTCTGCTCCTCATCGCAAATCCGCGTCCGTCCGCGTACTTTCTGTCCGATCCAACCCCACTACGCTCGGCATTGTTGGTGGAAGAGCAGGTCGCCGTGTACAACGGGGTCCGAGAGATCCTGTCCATGGGGGAGAAGGCAAAGCGCGCCTCTTCGAAGCGCCGCAAAAACAAACGACGACGCAGCAGCAACAGCACCACCACCACTGGAACCGACAGCCGCAACAGCGACCACGATGCCACAAACACCAGCGCCGCCAACAACACCGTCAGCGGAAAGAGGCGAGACACTAGTACCACCCCTGCCGCCGGAGCTGACCAAGGTTCCCGAACCAATCGAGACCAGCCCCAGGACACGCTTCCCCGAGACGACCTAGACCAACAGCCAGTGCCGGGAGACGACCAAACGCCTCCCGCCGAGGGAGATGGAACTCCCTCGGACACTGGGACCGGTCGAGCTTCGCCGGAGACGACGGGGCATCCCGTTGCACAGGCCGCCGCCAGCGGGACGGGGCAGGAGGCAACGGCCGCGTCTAGTGCCACTGACGTTAGTGGTGGTGGTAGCGATACCGACAGCAGCAGCGGCGACCCGTTCGCGCTGCTCTCTCCGAAGAATTTGGCGTCGTACGACGTGGTCTTGACGACCTTTGAGGTGCTCCGAGCCGAGGTTCACCACGCCGAGAGCAAGTTCGCGGGGGCGCTCGGGGACGGCGGTTCGGCGGTGGCGGTGGGCCGTCCGAGTCTCCGCCGAAAGAAAAGGTGCCGTTGTTGTTGTCGTCGTCGTCGCCGTTGTTGTTGTTGTTGTTGTTGTTGTTGTTGTGAATGTGGTGTCTTCACATAAACAACCGTTCCGATCGCTCTGTCCAGTGTAGTTGTTCCCCCCCCAGCCCTGTCACTTTTTGCACCCTACGTCTCGGAGGAAGATTATGCGGAGTTCAGACCAGCAGGGTGTGTGGATCTGCGTCTTTTCTCAAACGTTTGCATGTACTGCTGCGCTTGCATGCACCCGAACGCATACCAACATCTCCTTGTTGCTGTGTTCTGAATGAATCGTTTACGAAATGCATCACCGGCCACCCTGGCTGGTGTTTGCGAGAAGGTACCGGGTTATTCCGTCCCCTCTCCCGGCCCTCAAGTGGTGGAGGGTGGTCGTGGACGAGGCCCACATGGTGGAAAGCACCACCCAGGAGACGGCGAAGATGGCGCTCAAGATACCCACTACACACAGGTACAACACTTTGTGGTGCCAGTACCGCTAAACTATCTACACTACCCTTACTACTGCTACTACCACAGCTACAACCGCTTCCACTTTTACCTTTTCCATTCCCGCTACTATTTCCCGATATTGATAACACCCCCGAGAGAGAGCGAAAAGGTGTCCGCAGTTTTCTGATTAGTGAATCTTCGCTTCTACTCCGTACAACTATGACGGGATGTGCGGGCGTGTGGTGCTGTATGTGGTTATCTTGTACTAGGTGGAACGATTGCCCCCCCGCCCCCCATTGGGCGGGGCAGCCAGTATGCGTGGGATGGGTGCGGCGGTTTGATAGGCAGAGCGAATAGAGGCAATGACGACATCCGTATTGGAACCGATGTGGGTCCACACTACTGTACGTCCGTTGCGTAGATAGTCGTGTGTTCTTCGTGGTGTTGTTTCGGACATACGTTCGGTCGATGCCCCCACTAGACAGCGATGCGAATACATTGCTGCAGACCAAGAGCGACCAATCTCATCGTATGTACGAAGCGTCAGGAGCTACTCTTGAAACCAATTGTCTTCTGCTAGCAGCATACAAGCGAGGGAAGCAAGAAGTGCACGCCCACTCGGCAGCACCAGCAGCAGCAAGTACAGCAGCTGATTGATGATGAATGAGAGTTTTTTTCGTTCACACCAAACAACAGTCAAAGTCGTTCCCGCGTTGCTACACAGCAGCGAGTCCTGCATACACGTGTACAGTGGCAATGGTGACCTCTGTGTGGTGGTTTATGTAGGCCCCAACCACATATATGTACCGTATGTAATTGGGCCCTCCCGGGGGGGTACCTAGGCTTGGCTACCACAAATTGTAGAGGTACATCTATTATTCACTCAAGCTCCAGCTCGACGCCTCACAGCGCAGCAGCGGGGAATTAGCCCTGCTCTACTATCGAGACGAAAACTTAACGGGCCCCGCCAGCCTCCCACCGGACGACCCCGTTCGGCCTCCCACTTCGCGGAGCCCGGGTGATGCCCTCTCTCCGCAAGACCCCGCCGTCGCAGGCTCAGGCGCACCGTGCACGGCGAGCTGCCCGCATCGCCGAAAACGGAGTTGTTCGCACCTGCATCTATCTGCCCGTCTGCTGTTGTTGTGATATGATCAAAACTACGATTCGCGACTCTGATTGGACCGGACAGAACAGTGTTCTGCTCCGAACCAACATCTTTGTGTTGCGTAGAGAGTTTTTTTTACGTTTTGGGGTGCGTGTCTTCCATCCAGCCTGCATGCACCCCGTCAGCCACTGCTGAGTGTAGTGTTTCTTCCACCCACACCAATCCAAACTGTATGCCGGTCGCCCCGGTGGTCTAGTTGGTAACCTCGAAACCTTCTAGAGGTCAGGTCAGGGGTTCGAATCCCGGCGTAAGCGAGCTTTTCTTGCAAAGTGAGTTTTTCTCTCGCTTCCGCTCCTGGCCTAGTGGATAGCGCTAGTTCGTGTGTACACAGAGGGAAGAGTGCGCTGAACTCTTCTCGCATTAAATATCGAAGGCAACGTACCGCAGGAGGGGAGGGTAGAGAGGGGCTCTTCTGTGTGACCACGGGTTGTAGCAAACGGCACTATCGCTGTGAGCGCTGATTTGAAGTGAAGACAAAAGAAAAAAAAAATCCTCGAGTCTATCTCCGACACGCAGAGATTGATACGAATCTGTGGGTGCGTCAATGCGTGAAAAGCTTTGTTCACCCATCACCAGTCAATGCTGTCTGTCAAGTTGTTGGTGGTGCTTCAGATTTGTTTTTTTGAGCGAAGAAATATTTTCTTGAGGGTCTGCGAATACCTTTCTGTTCACTCTTCGTTCCGTCATCGGTGTTTTTGTTGTGAGGAGCGCGTCAAACTCATCATCGCATCCATTTTCGGTGAGTATGCAGCTCCATCTACGTCTATCTGTCTGCGGCGAATATTCACATCTTTCCACAACCCGGAAGGAGCGTCCCACTTGGTATATGCATCTTCTCATTAACGTTCGTGTCCACCTTACACGGAGAGCGGCGGAGCAAACGAAGGACGGGCGGGATGGTAAGCATAGCCACCCGTGTCCTGAGCTCTTGTACTTGTATACCATTTTTTCCCTAACACTTTTAAGTAAGGAAGGTATCACGACACGACAAATGTCGCCGGTGTTTTTTCGAATACTATTTTTCCACCGAAAGAACGAAATATTTGTTTGTGAACATACATGGACAGCTGGACCGCTGGACAACTGGAAGGGAGACTTGGGCGAATCAAAGTCGTTCGCGTAGTTCGGCAGCAGCAACAAACCCATGGCACAGGTTGACGCAAGGTCGCTTGTCATGGATGGTGGGGCCCGCACCGACGGTCCCGTACCACATGCTCTTCTTTTGGACACTGCTCATTGTCGGGTATGAACCGGTCTCGCCGTGGTGGGATTGTTTGCTGAGATGGATACAGCGGTAGAATGTGTGGATGATTGTCCAGATGCTGTTGTAGAAACACATTCGAAGGGCTGGAAACAGAGAAGCAGGCGTAGTTAGATAAACAAATGTGGTTGGGGCCTAAACCATCACACGGAGGTCACCATTGCCACTTTACAAATGGGGGTGTATGCAGGACTCTCTGCTGTGTAGCAACGCGGGAGGAACGAGTTTGACTGCTTGTTGATGTTGTGAACAAAATAAGGCTCTGATCCATCATCAATCAGCTACTACTGCTGTACGTGGTGCTGCTGGTGCTGCCGTGCGGACGTGCACTTCTTGCTCCCCTCGCATATATGCTGCTAGCAGAAGGCAAGTAGTTTCAAGAGTCGTTTCCGACGCCTCGTACGTACGATGCGTTTGGTCGCACTTGGCCTACAGCATGTCGACGCGTCAATTGTTTGTCTCTGTTTCGGGGGTGGGTGCATCGGCCGAATGTATCCGAAACAATACAACTAAGAAACATGTTCATGACTGCGGGTGCCTGTGCTAAATAAGACTTCTCTACAGCAGCAGAGATTCACTTGGCCCGGTGGCGTCGCATTGAAGTGCCCTTCGTCCGGTCGCAGGAGGAATTCCATGAAGATACTCTAGGTTTCGGTCGTGTCCACGACACACCAAAAAACAATTTAAGCAACCACATTTATTTTTTTCCATACTAAAACTTCGAAATGTGTCACGACACGACCGCCATCCTATGAGTATATATATAAGATGATTGCAGCATACCCAGAACTAGTTTCATCCCTACTTCTACGCAGGAAAATGTAGTATATACAAGAGTTTATATTGTCGATGACCACCGACGCCTTGTTCAAGGGGGGCAAAGGGGGCATTTGGTCGGAAAAATTGACTCAAAACTGTGAATTGGGAGGTTTTGTCCATCAACCACCATCGACGTCCCAGCAGCGTCTTGTATCCGTTGAGTCGATTCTCGCGCGTGTTTGGATCGGCTCACCTAGCATGTCGGGCAAGCCGAGAGGGTACACCTTGTTGTTACCAGGGAAGAGGCATCCATCGCTCCTTCCCGTCTCCCGTTAAGAAAAGAATTGCAGTTAAGAACCTGAGGGTGCATCTTTGTCGAAATGTAAGAATCTAAAGCTGATCCTACGGTACTTCCTGTATTGCCCTGAGTGTGTTTTTTCTTCCATCTTTTTGGCGGCGACGGCGGCAACAGGTGGTGCGTCACGGGGACCCCGATCGGGAAGGGCAGTATCGACGACCTGTACGGCCTTCTCGTCTTCCTCAAGGTGCACGTCCCGCACCGGTGTCGTAGATGTCGTAGATTCCAACAGCACGCCGATGCCTTGCCAAGGGGCCAAGAATACCTGAATACGTAGAAACTAATTTGCGCACATTTGGAATGGTCTGTTGAGGGCCTCCACATGAACGTTCATTGCAAGACGTTCAAAATATGGTAGTTGGTAACCTACAGCGGAAACAATGACCCGAGTCCCGGGCAGTAATTTTCGATGACCATCAGCCAAAGCTGTGCGTCCAAACCTACGCGTCGTTGAGTTTTGTGAGCCATTGTTTTTGGCATTTGAAAAGTACTTGTACTTGTTGCGTGCAATACGCCATGGGACTGTTCCATCTTCAGTATCCATCCCATCTGCTCTCCACGCTAGCCTTTAGTGGCACTTGAGCGACTCCGGTAGAACGAGGCCCGAAAAAATGCATGCCGCACGGGATCGGTTTCCTCGAGCAAGAGTTATGTACAGACCCTTACCCCAGCGCTTGACTCTATGCAAACCGTACCCGAAAACGTCAGGCGTCACCTCTCGACGACAAGGCGGTGTGGACGAAGGCCATCCGGGAGCCGATCGATCGCCGACTCCCGGGCGCCATGGAGCGCCTAGTCTCCGCGCTCAAGCCAGGTGGGCGAGCCAGCTACAGCAGTAGGTTGCACAAGGCACCACACACCCCCTTTGACCGATCTTTCGAGCTCGATCTCCCCACGATGAAGAAGATGTAGACACCAAATATTGTTCCGTTTTCGGAAGTCTCGTGTGACGAAATAGCGGTTCCAACGCCAACATTTTGGGCACTGTCGCTGTTTATGCTGCGAGTAATCGATCATTCAAACTCGGTCGAGGGGGTGCGGTGTCTTGTGCAACCTTTACGGTACCTTGATATACAAGAAAAAAAATACCCCCGGTAGCAACACTTGTGAAAATGTACACAAAATAGCACCGCGTGCTATGTTTTCGTGTGTGTGTGGGAGGTGGTATCTTTTTCGTTCACCTTTGTTACTTGATGTGAAAAGAATTTTTGCTTTTTGGGCTCTGTTCACCCGTTATCAAGATTACCACCGGGTGTGGTATTGTGTGGGCTAGGCGTAACCTTGTGCGTGTGTGTGTTTCTGGTGTCGTCTTCGGTACAGTAGAAGGTAGTCGCCTGCGCACCATGGAAAATGATGAAAACGTCAATATTCGACGAGATTTGGCAAGGCTCAATGCGCGTGCAGAGGCGTGTGCATTCGATGAGATTGGACCCGAGAAAGTCAGAACGCGACGGGACGGTACTGTTCTTGGGGGAAGGCTCATCAAGACACCCTCGCAGCTTTTATTAGCGGCCTGGAAGACGACAAAGAGTTGTTGGTGTTGTTGGTTCCGTGCGGCCGGGTGTACTTGGTACTTTCTTTTGTTGGGTAGGTTTGGCTCTTCGCAGCCCTTTTGGGCGCGCCGCCCTCTGCGCCAGACATTTTGGACACCCTTTCTGCACGCTCTTCCGAACATCACCCCGCAAGTTCACAAAACTTCCTCCGAGAGTGTCTCTCGCCTACCGACACTACTACCCCACTTCATTCAACACCCACAATCGTGTGCTTGGCTGCTCACGCCCCGATTGTTGCTGCTGCCTGTGCCCGTTATTTCATAACGTGTGTTTCCTACGCCTTCGTTGCCGGCGTGCGCTTTTGCGTAGTGATGTGGAGGGTCACCAAGGCATCTGTTGCAGCCCAGATCAACATCCCCCCACAGGTGCGCCTTTGTAACTCACAAACGTGTGTACGACTACTTTGTTTGCATCATGGCGGAAATTGCTGAATATCGGAACAATATCACCGCCTTTTGTGGGCGCATAAAGTTGCGAGAACAGTGAAAGTTTGAACACTTTTATCGCAACTTTTCTCATGTACGCTCTTTATCAGTAGGTGGTCTTGGTTGTGCAAGCGGGCCAGTCTTGTCCACATCTCTGCTTCGCGTGCTCGCATCGTCTCCTATTCGCTCAACGTTTGTGCTGGACACGCTGAACCACAACAGCAACACTACCGTCGACAACCTCGACAACAACAATGACAATAAGACGTGCCCCCAATGATGTTCTCTTCTCCCTTACGCACACGACAAGACCTGCGTCGACCGGCGCCTGTCCTTCTCGAGCGTGGAGGAGCACTTCTACCGGAAGCAGCACCGGGCAGCGGCCGCCGACGCCCAAAAGTGCGTACGACGATCGCTGACGACCCCCTGCCCCATAACATGCGGGCCTCTCCTCCTCCCTCCCGGTCTGTCTGTCTGTCTGTCGGTCTGTCGGCCTGTCTATGTTTCTATCTCTCGGTATCTGTATCTGCTTCTTTCTCTTCCTCTGCCTCTCCGTCTCTTGTTCTCACTCTCGCTCTCTGTTGTCTGTCTGTCTGTCTCTCATTGTCCCTCTGTCTCTCTGTCTGTCTGTCTGTCTGTCTGTCTGTCTGTCTTTCTGTCTCTCTCTCTGCCTCGGTCTCCCCCCTTTTCTCTCTTTGCTATATCGGTGCGTTTTACTATTTGTTTTTCGACAGCACGGTTGTACTCCTGCCCCCTACCGACCACCCTTTGTCCGTTTTTCGTTTCTTTGCGTCCTCGCTCCCCTATGTATCCCTCCCCGTCTCGACCTTGCCCCCCTGGGTTTCAGAACGGCCAGAGAAGGCGGTAGCGGAACGGAGGAGAAGATGTTCAACTCCCTCTTGGCACTCAGGCAGGCGTGCTGCCACCCTTGCATCGGCAGCGGGGGAATCGAGACCTCCGGCGGGGGTTCGAGGCTAGGAGGCGGTAGTGCCGAGGGGCGATGGCTGAGCATGGATCAGATCCTCGACAGGTGCTCGCCGCGTGTGCTGTTTCAGGGTGTCTCGTTGGCTGTTTTTTCGGCTGTGTGTGGTGCTTTTTCCAGCTCCGGCGTGGTCACATGGTGCGCAAATTTGGCGGCGAGACACTGATACACACGGTACGGCATGTTGTGTTTGGACTTTTTTGAGGTGAGCGGAGAGTACTTTACTATCTCGTAATGCCCTCGTTAAAACATATACCGTGGTGATCTAATCCCCCCCCCGCTTTCGCTAGGTTGATCGATGCGGAGCGATTAAAGGCGGAGGAGGCCCAACGCAAGGCTATCCTGAACCTCAACGCCTCGGGGGCTGTGGCTCGCCTCATCCTGCAGGCCAAGGAACGGAGGTGATGACCTGCGTGGAGCTGTTTCGTAATCGTGATCGTCGTCGTCGTTGTTGTTGTTGATTGGATTTGTCGTGATCGTTGTCGTGGTCGTTGTCGTTGTCGTCGTCGTCGCTGTTGTTGTTGATTGGATTTGTCAATGTGCGACTAATGGTTCCTTGCGCCGATCCAGTCCGTTGGTGGGCACAAGCTAGTGGTACGATGCGACAATGCAAAGCAGTAGTGGCAGCGGTGTTTTCTCGCAGACATCGGGGACAATTGCACCTTGTACTCTTTGGCCTTGAGAACGGTGTCCGTCGACTTCACCGCGCTCCAGGGCACACGACGTGATAATCTTGCCGTTTGGAGTGCGTGCGTGCGCTTGGAACAGGGCTGTTGCCCTTCTCTCTCCTGGTTTCGAGCAATGCAAGAACTTGTGCGTGTTTGGGCGTGTGTTTCCCCCCTTCGACCTCTTCGACTGTTTGGGCGGAGAGTTGCCCTCCCACGACCCGTGTGCTTTTCCCGGGACCCCTACATATGTGGCGTTCCTAATGATTGCCCGGTGTTTCATTTCTGGTGCACGGCCACCATACTACGGTGACACCGGCCTGCACTCTCTGCACAACCGCAACACAGAAGTGATGCCGCGCGCACGGCAGATGCGGCGGCGGGCGAGGGGGAGGGTGGCGGCGAGACGGCCGAGACTCTCCTGCGGGATTCGGTTTCGAGCTACCAAAGAGCGCTGCAGATGGCGGAAGACAACAGGTGAGGATAGCGTATGGTCACAAGCATACGGGCAAAGGCAGCTGTTGCTCTTAATGTTGTTGATTGTTGTTATCATGCTTTTGTAATCGGTCGTTTGTCTGTTGGTTGGTTTGCGTTTTTTTTTTTTGCCTCTGTTGTTTATGAAAGTGCATATTGTTTTTTCGTTTGCTTTCGTTTGTACTCGCTGTGTCCCTTTGTGTTCATGTCTTTGATTGTCTGCGTTCACCATTTCTATCTTGTGCGCGCTTTCGCAGGACACCGGGACCCGTCACCGGAGGGGCGGAGGTCACCGGGTCAACAACGATGCTCCCACCGAGCACAAAAAAACGCCTCAAACAACATCCCGCCGGTGCCCAGCCATCTTCCAAGCCCGCCGCCGATCCCAACCCTACCGCGGCAGCTTCCCGGCACGGTACGACCGCTGCTACCGTTGCTTTCGTGGAACTGCGGAAACCTTTGACGCTCTCCTGGGAGGTGGAGCTTGGTCCGATTGTCGGTGTCGCTAGCGCGGAGGCAGGCGGCGAGACCGCTGTTGCCGTTGCGGAGCGGGAGACGACGCCGGCGACGCCGCAAGGGGCAGAGGCAGTCGGCGGCGAAGCTGTCGCGGCGAGGAAAGGCGCGGTGGAAGAAGACGAAGAAGGAGGAGGTCCGAAGGACACCGAGACGACGGCGATGGGTGAGAGGGGAGGGGAACGAGGGGGGTTAGGGGAGAGCGAAGCCGGAGGAGCATCCTCGAGCGGAAGACGGGGAACGATGGCGGCGGCGGTGGTAGGCGGAGGGTCGTCCGAATGCCGCAGGGTTCGAGACCCAACCTGGGCGCGATTGGTCTTCGCAGACCGTAAACGGTGAGACCCGCGTTTGGAGGCAGCTTCGTGGGTATGAGCGTCGACTTGTCGTCTGACATGCTCACTTACTAATAGGTCCATTTCTGCCCCCTTTATGATGTTCTGTGTCCCCATGCGCCATCATGTGGCCTCAGCCTCACAGTTACCTCGCAATAATCGCGAAACGCCCGTGTCGTGAAGTACGCTTTTGTTACTGCCGCCAAGGGCATCGCTGCTGCCGTCTCTGCTCGCTGCCGCCGGCACGTTGTTTGTTCAAGGTGGAGAGCGCTTGCGGAGAACGGTTGTGACATGTCTCTTTGTGTGCCGCTGCTGTGCCCTTGACGCCATGCGTAACCTACTTGTCGCCGTGTTGTTTTGGCATTTTGTTTTTACCCTCCCGCCGCCGACACACAACCAGGCGTCCTTTTGGTGCGTTCAATAAGGGCAGTTCAATTCGCCTACTTTCGTGTTGTGTTTGACGTTGATGATTGTTTCGCGGTGTACACGTCGCACCCACGTTGGAAAATGTTTTTCTGGTCTCTTCCCCAGTAGCTACTCTGTTTGCTCCCCATCCAAGAAGTGAATAATTTTATTAAATGGTCCACCCAAGATACTGGAAACAAAATCAGGACCCTCACAAGTCCAACAATTCCTTAAAATCCAAGAACTTGAACCAATTTTGATCAGGAACCACGCAGAGATACGTGAGGCTAACAGCCCAAACTGAACGTTGAAGCCATTGCTCACGTTCGCAATCTACAATAACATATTATTTGGCCACAAGATTACCACAGACGCGAAAATGCTCTGCACGGGTACAATAGGGCGGGCATTGTTGTCGTGTTCATCGCCAGCACCTATCCTTGCTGTAGGCTCAAGCCGCATGACTCTATATGTCAACTAGCTACGTTAAGGCGTGAGAGACGGAAGATTCGGCAAGGTCCGTTCCGAACAGTACTGACCCGTCATGCTGAACACCGTCGGACGGGGTGACCCGCCCAAATCCGGAATGGCTCAATCATCGACCAGCCAATGCCTTACCGCCGCCCCGAGAGACTGCAATTGGGAGCACGTCAGGCGTATATGGTAGTCGGGGTAGTGACACAATTGTTCTCTCTTGGGAGCTACAGTGGTTCAGGGCGACTTGGTGACGGTGATGCGTTGCGAGTGCAGTATTCCTCCTGAACGGACAACGCCCTTCCCCGCTACGTACGCGTCCTGCTGCGATCGTCCAGCATCCTCCGGATCCGGGTGCGTCCTTGTTATCCGGACCAGTTCGCATGGCACGGTGATGATTCGACGGCGGCGGCATCACCCGCTGGCGCCACCGATAGAGCTTCCCCGGGAGAAAACGGAGGTGACCCTGCGCCTAACAAGGGGCGTCAGAGCACACGGCGGGAAGATAACGCTGCTGATATCGGTATGGCTGTCTCCGGTCGACAGGACCAAGGGGGTGCTGCTACCGTGCTCCAAGTCCCCAACGGTGCTTCGAATGGAGTTTTTGCCACAAATGGATACAGTGGAGTTGCGGCGGAGGCAGCGGAAGGGGTGATGGCGAAACCAGGGGGGGTCTCTGAGGGCGAAGGAGGAGAACGCCGGCGACAGGGGACGCTGGTGTGGCATCCCCGGGTTTGCGCTCTGCAGGCCTCGTCGCAGGCCGGGGTGTTCGAGGATGTCGTCCGCTTTTCGATGGACGCCCCGTCGGCGTCGTCGGTAAGCTAGGCTTGGAAACGCGTCGACATCGATACCAGTAGCAGCAGCAGCAGAGCTTGAAGTAGCGGACAACGCAACATTCCAGCACCACCAGCATCCTCCAAAACGATCTACGCCGTAGCGGTAGCAACGATGACAGCAAAACCGATCTCACCGAATACACCGCCGCCAGCACCACCAACAGCCATCCTCCTGAAAAGTGCCAGGTGGTACCAACAGGGCGTGGTTTTCGAGTAGTGTGGTGTCTGCTTTGTTCTGTTCCTTGCACACTTTCGGGAGGCATCGATTGTTGCGGCTCGAGGCTCCGGAGGAACTGCTGGTTGCTCGCTCGAGGCTCCATGCGTTGCCACGAGGCCTCAACAGTCACAGTACCGACTTAAACGGCCGCAAAAACAAAGAGAAAGAGGCATCAAGTGTCGGGCTTGGGGTTCTGCCTCCATTGGATACATGGCTCGCATGGGGGGTCTGGCGGATGATGTCGCACCACGCCCCTTATTGCTTTTTCCGCCTCTCCCAGCCCCCTGCATGCGATGCTGTTGGAAATTTGTGGCATGTTCCTTATTGTGATGACGGGAACGGCAATGGTGCGGAAACTGATGGCCACGATGGATGATATTACCGCAGAACTGATGTTGATGGTAACCCTGATGTGCTGACAATCAGTGTTGTCAACATGTGACACAGTACCTCCCACCAATGCGATGGATGAATCTATATGGCGATGAGGATGTTTTTTCACTCCGAGCAATGATGGCGCTGATGGTTACATGCTGTTGTCGATGACAACGCAGGTTGTGCCCGGCAGTGGTACAGCTGCAGGGCCAACGGATACTGGGGATGATAAAACATCTGCAGCGGCAGCTGCCACCTCGAACATAGCAGTAGCACAAGGAGATGGCAAGATCGAAGACGACGATAGCGACAGCCGCGGCGGAAAGTGGCAAGAGGTAGTGGTACCGTCGAACCGCAGCGTAAGGGGAAGGGAGTGGCGAATCGTGGTGGAGACTTCCTGGTGCCACGAAGGGGCGCCGCGGGCGTCAGGTGACGGCTGGAGGGGGGGCGTCGGTGGTAGAGGCGTCGTTCAAGTGGCGATGGAGGTGGAGCTACGGGAGGTGAGATCAGGATTGTGTTTGGTTTTGTAGGAGGAGAGTTTGTAACACAGGGGGGTGGTGGTTTGGGAAGAGAAGGGGTTTTCGAGGAAGGGGGGGGGGGGGGAGTTGGTGTTGGCTTGTTGAAACGAAGTGCCGTCAAAATGTTTAGTTTGCCTTCTGTGACAGTGATGTCGAGCAGCTGCACCTCGTCGGGCTGTAGATGTACCTAATTTAGAAGGTAAGCACGTTGTACGAGTTACTCCCAACGTCGTATTCGTTCAACAAGGTACAGGAACAGGAACGGCAGCAGCATGGCCGTTTTCAGAGTACCCCGACACGAGGAAGTACTGTAGCAGCAACAGTACATTACAGCAGCGAACCGCCGCCTTTAACATCGACCAGTAGACCAAACTGCACATAATTTTTCATCTCAGAGTTTATGCCGTTGTTCACCACCAGTGGCGTGCGCATGGAAATTCACGCCTCTTTGGAAAAATTTGAAGGCGGAGGTGGACGCCGACAGCCTCCAGATTCTTCACGCTGCGCACAATCTCCTGGAGGTGCTTGACACCGTCAAGGAACGAGAGCTTCTCCTTCCGGCGGGACAAGCTCCGCCGGCTCGGGTGAGTCTAGCGCGTTCACAACAACTATCGCATCCCCCAAACATAGTACTTCGTACTTCCTAATTTTTTGTCCGGTTTGGGGGAGCAACTGGAAGTCGCAACGGCCCCCAAAGAGCCAACTCGATGTGTCACTGTTGGTACTACACCAACAGTACCACACCAACAATGAGTCGTATTGTGTTACAGGGAGGCACTTGCTGTGGGTAGCAACGGCAGGAATTACCCGGCGACGTTATGCATCACCACGTTAAAGCTACTTGCGTTTCGGTAGCACCGTTTGGTTGTCGTCTTTCATGCCGATGCCAAGCAACACTTTTGTGGGAACGAGCGCTCGCAGACGTCGGAACTGCGGCAGCTGGTCGGCCGTATCAAGGGCGGCTACGTGGCCACAGCCGTTGGGATCCACCGTTCGTCGAGGCTGCAGCTGCAGGAGTCGGGCCGGGCGTCGGCAGAAGCGCTGCGGGCAGCGGCGAAGAAGAGAATCGGCGGGTAAGAGATATTGAGTGCTTTTGTTGTTGTTGTTGTTGTTGTTGTTGTTGTTGTTGTTGTTGTTGTTGTTGTTGTTGTTGTTGTCGTCGTCGTTGTTGTTGTCATCGTCTCCTTAGGTATCCCCATGTACTATTTGTATGCTGTAACCTCCAGCGGACGTTGTGGCGTGCCATTTCAAGAGACGGTCTTTCGTGTCGAAAGCGACAGACTAAATCATTGTGTAGTCTTCAAGGACGTGCGGGCACAGTATCAACTTGGACAGAGGATGTCGTAATCACTGCACACGGGTGATCGCACGCCCCTTAGCTCGGTCTCTTCACAAGCGAGAGGGCACTACCTGGCGACAAAGGGTGTCATCGAGACAGAACAATTCTGGTGACAAGTGCGGAACGCCCCCCCGGTAAAATGTCATGTTTCGTGTATTTGAAGACTCAGTTATTGACGAATATTTAGAACATAGGGATGAGAAACACAGATCAGCGGTTCGCTAAACTCTACCAGGTATGTTGTGTCCTGTGCGCGTCGTTGGCGTCGAAATACGAAAGTTGAGCCTCGATTCAGGTTTTACGCAGCCTGTGTGTCTCCGGGCCCGTTCTGATATGATGTCTGTGGCCCGTTTTGATATCGAGCATTTCAGTCTGTGTGTACGGGGGGGTGATGCTGAGGCCGTGCCCTAACCACGTGTCCACTTTCGTTCTTTGTGCGTCTTTGCCGTGCGCTTGGATGGAACAGGGTGGAATGGTGGGAGGTCGCCCTTGGGTACATGGAGAGTACGCGGGACGAGGGGAACTTCGTCCAGAGGGTAAGTCAACTAATAGGGCAGGCGAGGGGGGGAGGGGGCAAGGCAACGGTCCGCGGAGACTCCCGCGTGACGGACCACGTACGGCAGTGAGGCGTTTTCGCTTCTCGAGTCAGAGAAAGTCGGGCGACGTACAGCACTTCGAAAATAGGGACACTGGCTTCCTGCCCACAGGGGGTATGGTCGAAAACGAATGACCCTACCTCTACGCTCGGAAGCATAGGATGATGGGACATAAACGAGAAGGTGGAGGCCCTTGCTCCCCCTAAGGTCTATCGCGTTCTTATGCGGTCAAGGCGTTTGTTCGTGCTCTTGGCCGGAAATGCTTTCCGGATGCGTTGTTTGTTCCCTGCGTGGCAGCCACGCCCGCCCCTCTCTGTATGGAATAAGCGGGCACTAGATAGAGGACACAAAAAGTAGCAGCAGAGAGACAACAAGAAATATCAATAACAGCAGCAAGAGCAACAGTAGCAGCAACGAAAACAGTGACAGCCTGATATTCTTTGAAAACCAACAGGCCCAGCTGGAGTTGCTGCACGAGAAGGCAGGGCAGCACGCGGTAATGGTGAGGAGAAGCTTCCCGAACTTCACCTCAATCGGCGGCCTCAGGACGGCATTGTCCATCAAGATCAAGGTATTCCGCTGCTGTTTGGATGCCTTGCCGGCCTTCCCATCTGTCTCTTAGAATGGTGGTTGGCATTGGTGCTGGAGGGAGTGTTGGAGCCGAATCTCCTACAAAACATTTGCAAGCGGATGCCATTCCAAGGCCGTGTACACCACTCTTGTCGCAGGAAGCTCAAACCAAGCGAAAGGACGTCCTGCGGAAGCTGGACTCCCTCACGACGGACCCGGGACCTATGGAGGTCCACTCCAACAGCAACTGCCGCCGCTGCCGAGCCGACTGGGGCAAGACAGGACCGATCTGCGGGTGCGGATTCATCCCTAGTGCTAGTTTCTCACCAGAACTGATTCACGGGAGCTTATGCGACAACCGAATGCGTTGAGTGCAGCTTTTGTGCTTTGTGTACTATAATAGTGCGTGTGCTTGCATGATCTTCAGCTTACAGCATTTCTCATGTTTGGCTTGGAGGAAGACACGCGTATGGATCGAGGGATTTGGGCTGGGCGAAGTCCTGCTCTCCTCTTCCGTCGATCGGAGTGGGCCGAATGGAAATTACAATGGCCTGGTTGCAGATACCGTTAATCGTCAGATATCGATCCACACATGCTTTGCTGGAGTGTTGATGAGTTTTCGCGCGTTCGCCATGGGGTACTCTCTCATGACCGACCGTTTGCGCTCATGAAACGTCTGTGGTGTTGCCTGCGTGGAACTCGCTTGTTTATTGTGCTCAGTAGGTTGGCTGGAGGTAGAGTTTGTATGTGTTGGAAACCAGGGTAATAGTGCGCAAACGCAACTCGGCTGTGATCGCTTAGCACCCCCGATTGCGTCTCTGCTGAGATACCAACAAATTCTTGCTTAATCATTGTTCTATTGTAGGATTCAATGTGGGTGTTTCCAGATGGCGGTTGGTTCCGCGGTCTATGGCGGTATTGCTGTTCCAATGCCGCATGTGTTCGCGCGTCCGTCTCGTATTTGCGCCGCTCCGCGGCAGGCACTGCAAAGTGGAGGAGCACATCGACGCTTGGGAAGCGTGCGTCGTGTACTTCAGGAGACCGCTAAAGAACACCGCCGACGCGGGGGGGTCCGCAGCTGGTTCCCCCTTCCTGTCAAGGTTCGGGTGAGTGAGCCGATTCCTGGGGCGAATTCCGGTAACAGCCGGAGAGGTCTTGTTCGGAATTGGAGTTGTCGAAGTGTTCGGCCTGTCATCGTACAAGGGGAATCATCGCATCCTTGCGATCTGCCGCGAAGGACTCTTCTGCGGAGGGTCGGTAAAGCAGTTGTTGGTTTGTTCCAATCGTTTTTCCCTCTATCCATCTAAACTACCATCTACCGACCTCTGATTATCCGTAGGCCCGGGGGGGAGGGGACCAACAACGCGGGACCAGGCGTCAACAACGCCCACCAGGGCCACACGTTCAAGGTTAGTGGTGTCTTGGCAAGCCTTCGTTATTCTCAGACGTGACAAATCGAGCATGCTTTTGGTTCTCCCATCAACGAATAGGGGGTACGGTATATGATGCTTGCTACGTGCAGTTGTGTTGGAGGATTTGCGCTTTTTTTTTGCTGGGTTGGTGGTGGCGGGAAGTTCTCCTCCCGGCTTGGCAGTCGCACCCAAGAGGTTTGTTCAGTTTCCCCATTTTTTGGGCCGTTTTCGATTAGACAAGGCCGTTGATCCGCCTCCTATCCTTCGAGGGCACGAAGTGGATCCCCGGTTGTCGTACACGACGACATATATGCTTCTGGGAATTTGTTCATGCACACGACAGTTACGGTGACTGGTTGGTTGGTCCAGATGGTGCCTCCGCCGCCATGTCTCCAGGAAAAGTCGATCGATCCAACACCGCGGCATGGCCTCTGCGTTTAACAGGAGCCGTCCGCCACTCCGAGGTTGCTTCGCCTCATCCAGAGGTGGATAAAGGAGCAGGCGCGAGGAGGAGGAGGAGGAGGAGGAGGAGGGCAGACCGTTGGTGGCTCTGGGTCTGGTGCCGCGGGCCGTCGGCAGGGACAGGTCCAAGATTGGGCCGCGCTCGGTGCAGAGAGCAAGGACTTCCTAGGTAAAACTGCGAGCAAATGAAACCAGTCAGGGCACGGAACGTTCCCAGCTGCAGAGCCTCCGAAAAAAAATTGGCTCAAGTTTGTACCCCCGCTGGTACTTGTCTCTTGGACAAACGAACGCCTCTCCGAAAACAGAAGAAGACAGGAAAATCAAAGAGAGTTAAGTCGGAATATGAACAGGCCGAATCAATTCTGCTGATTGCCTCTTGAACCACGCTGAAAAATATCAACTTTTTATGTTTGCCGATTTTTGAAAAATTTAGCCTCCTGGGAGGCGTCGGAGAGGGAGCTGCTGGCTTCGCGGGCTCTGTGGAGGGCGCACCTCGATCTTTTGTCCAACATCGACGAGCTGGGGTCGTGTGTGACGCCACTCAGGCTAGCCGACAGCGACGAAGAGGCACGGCTCGGCCTTCTCACCGAAGAGCAGCGAAGGTGGATTGTCGTTATCGTTTTCGTTGTTGCCGTTGCTGTGTTGTTGTTGTGGTGGTTGTTGTTGTTGTGGTGGTGGTGGTGGTTGTTGTTGTTGTTGTTGTTGTTGTTGTTGTTATTGTTGTTGTACTTGTCGTTATTTGCTGCCCGGATGTATCGCAGCGTGTCGTCTCACGCAGCACAAAGGTATACCGAAGAGTAGCGACTCGATCACCAACTCTGTCCATTTTGTTTCTTTCATTTCGGCCGATGAGTCTTCGTATGACTAGACGAGTCTTGCCGCAACATGGTCTAATTTACGTCAAAACAAAGAGAGTATAATGCATAGCGGTGCCCTCTGTGCTGGTTTACCCTCACCAAATGCGAAGAGCAACAGGGAAGTAGCCGGGGTCTCTTGTTGGTCAAATACATATATGTACATATAAGATTTGGTCAATTTTCATGCGTCGGCGTTTCTTTCTCTCGCGGCAGCGAGTCTTTTCTCGCGGCTCCTTCTCAGGGTCACGCAGGAGGCTCGTCGGTACATTAACGCCCGTGCCCGGAGCTCGGTAGGCCTCCGTGGCGCGTGTGGTTGACGGCCAAAGTTGCGAAAACTGGCTCAAAATCCCGGGGACGCGTTCCGCGCTGACAAAGCCTGGCGAACCAATTCTGAAACCTATCAAACCCATCAAATACGACGGTTTGAAATATGTGCCTCTTGCTTCTCCATTTTCATTTCGTTCATTCATTCATTCATTCGATGATTCATGGCTGGCTGTGACTCTTCGTGTCATCGCATTGTCCAACAGCAGTACCTACGTTTACTACACTTCGCAGCGGGCCAAATGTAGACAAGTCTGAGAACATGCATCCAGCCGCAGTGGTGAACATGTCCCATTTGTGGTGTTGTTTCGGCTTCAAATTCGGTTCTCATCGGAAATGTGCCATCATCAATCAAAGACATCATGGAAGTCTGAGTGTTCGCTGCCAAAATATTGTTCGCTCGAGCTGGCTCTAATGTAGAAAATAACAACGTGCGCGATGTGTTGTGCGAAAATACAAGCGTTGTAAGACACACAGTCCCTCTTCGGGCAATGCGCATGTGGTCTTGCGTCACCTGAGGGAGGGTAAACACCCACGTCCCGAAGGGAGACCTTTTACATGTATTTTTTCAAAAACAAAATCATTTTGTACGTGGCTGTCAGGATGGTGCTCTCGGAGGGCCTGTTGGGCATCAGACGCAGAGAGTACGAGCTGGAAAGGCAAGCCGCTGCTCACGAACTCGATAGCAGCAGGGGGCAGCTGGCCTACCTGTCGACGCTTGTCGAGGAGGGGTGAGTGACCCAGCGGGACAGGCGGAACGAGGGAGAGAGAGAAAGAGAGAGCTTAAGCGAAAGAGAGAGGGAAAGAGAGCCAGATTGAAAGAGTCACATAGACAGAGAGACAGAGGCAGAGGTAGAGACAGAGACTGCTTTTTTTGTTCAAGGAAACTCCTGACACGTATATGACACTGTGATTCCCGAGAACCCGATTTACATTCGCTTGATTTTGCCCCTGCTCAGGTCTGGTGCTCTTTCTGGGGCGACGCGGGAGTGCACGGTATGCCAGGAGGACCTGGTGGAGGAAGTCGGATGCCTACCTTGTGGGCATACTTTCCATCCAGAGTGAGGAGCAGGGAGGTCAATGGCGGCGTGTTTTCTTTTTCACCACGAAGCGGGAAACAAAGAGTCACCAGCGCTTTGTGTACCATGGTGTCGGTTTTCAAAATGAAAGCTGTGAAATTGTTGGATGCAGCACGGTGTGCGTGCTCGCTGAGGTCTGGGTTTTTGGCGTCTGTGAAAAATGTATCAAAAAGAGATTGGGCGCAACGCTTGAGACAACACGCATCTGACAATATTTCCTTTCGGCATCGGGCAGGCGCATCAGGAGGTCGGCGTTTCCGATGCTTTACTCCGCCTCCCTTCGTCCCTGCCTTTTATTTTTCATCACTTGTTTTGGTGTCAACCTTTGGTTTTGGCGTGCATGGTGTGTTCGCCATTCTCTCTGCCGTCTTTTTCGCACGCGTACCATGCATCGCCCTCTCTTGTCCTCTTTATTAGTTTTTGTGTGTTCTCTTCGTTTTTCACGTTGTCGACAGATTCATTCGTATTTTATTTATGTTCTACCAAATTCGAATCTGTTTCCTCCCTTGGAAATGCTTTTTTTTTTCGCAGGTGCATCGGGTTCCTCCGCAAGGTCGGCAGCGGTGGCGCGGGCAGGTTCAGGTGTCCGACCTGCCGCCGATCTTCTTCTGTGGCCGACGTACGGTTCGCGTCTACCCTCGACCAATCAGATGGCAGCGCGTTTGGGTGAGCGTAGGTTTTCGACCAGTCAAAGTGGAGTGCCGCGGGCCAAGGGCCCCTCCAGTGTTTGTGTGCAGCAGCAGCAGCTTCTTCAGAGACCGAACGAGAAGAGAAGGTTGACTCAAGACCTTTTTGTTGCTTCGAGAATGACAGACATGCGGGAGGCGAGACGATCCCCACGCCTCATGCCCGTCATACACATATCCTCCACGTAAACCCTGGAGGCCCCGTAGATAAGTCCTCTGCCGAGCACCCCGAAAGAGTAAGGTGGCGGCGCGTTTTTGGTGTGAGTCTACGCTCGGCTGAAAGAGTCAAAGAGTGTACATGGCTTGTGTAGAGGCCCGCAGTGCTGTTGCTCGTCCAATCAAGCGTCATCGCTTTTGGGGGTTGGTCTCAAGGACTGGCACAAGCGGAGCATCAGCATCAGCCAACAAGAATTCGTTCCGTTACTCAACAAGAATTCGTTCTGTTGCTGTTGGGGGCCATACTCTTCGCGAAATATCTGTGTCCGTTCGAAGACTTGTCCAACGTGCTCGAAATCGTTTTTTCGCCGTCTCGTTTTTCCGTGCCTTTCTTGTTTTGTGTGTTTGTGTGTGTGTGGTCCTTCCTTCGGCAGGTTGCCCGTAAAGGGTAGCTGGGGCACGAAGATCACGGCCTTGGTCGGCGATATTCTCGCCCTTGGGTGAGCAGTGCTGCTGCTGCCGGTGCTGTTGCTGTTTTTCCTGATGTTGCTGTTGCTGTTGCTGTTGCTGTTGCTGCTGGTTCTTTTATGCTGCTGTTGCTGATGCAGCTGGTTCTGTTGTTGTTGTTGTTGTTGGGCGCATGGGACCCATCGACCTGTCCGCCGGCAAGGTGACAATGCCGGCTGCTGTCGGGCAAGTCCTTTGACAGACCGCCGGACAGGAGAGTGATTCGCATGCAAACTCCCAAAACGCCGACCAAAGATGCGGAGCTCGCCCGATCTCAGGCTGCCCCGCCCCCGATCGATCTCACCTTTCTTTTGTTTGTCGTTTCGCAGACCGTCCGACAAGTGCCTGGTTTTCTCTCAGTGGGACGACATGCTCGACATCGTGGAGCTAGCTTTCAAGGAGAACGGAGTCAGGTGAGCAGCTCTCGTACCTGTTTTCTGTCGGAGTACAAACCCGGAATGATGAGCAGAAAATCTCTCGACTGCAACCTTTTTCAGCTATCTTTTGGCTGGATTGCTTGCTGTTGTTGGCGGTCGTGTCATCTACTTCTTGGCACGCGGCAGCGAGGGCAGCAGCAGCAGTCATCTGCGGTGCAAAGCTGATGTGTTTGTGTGTGTGTGTGTGTTTCGTGCGATATTGCGTGGTTGTCCCTTTTGCTTTTGTGACACACCACGCACGCCGACAGCTACGCTCGGATGAAGGGCAAGAACAGATCAGAGCTTGCCCTGGAGGCGTTTCGGGCAGAGGGTGGCCCAAGGGCGCTGATGCTCCCCATCAAGACGGGCTCACACGGCCTCAATCTGGTGCGTTCGCCGTTGTTGTCGTTGTCGTTGTCGTTGTCGTTGTCGTTGTCGTTGTTGTTGTTGTTGTTGTTCGGGTTTGGCTGTGGTTTTGGTTTTTTTGTCATTGCTGGTGGTGTCCGAAGTCTATCGTAAGGAGGTATTCTCTGTCATTCGTTGTTGCCATATTCGAAACCTTTAATGATCTCTTCTCAGCTCTTACTCTCACATACCCTCCCAGACGTAGAATCGGGCTTCCGCCTATAAGAAGCTTCCACCGATGCTGTGTGAGTCGACTACGTCGGTTCTTCTTCGACCATACACAACAAGCCTCTGTGGACTGGGCGGGACATGGGAAGTTGGCGTCGAGGCGGAAAGTGTTTCGTTTCCTTGGCACAGAAGCTTCGCGACAACTTGGGGCTTGCACGCCGAGTCATACGTCAGCGCGGGGTGTGGGCATGCTTCTCTTGTCTGTATACAGGGCGTCGTTTTTTGTTTTCTCTGTGTTATGGTGCGCAACACGTTGCGTCCCCGACACTGAAAATTATAAATTAACCAATACAAAACACATCCAACACACGTGTATCAACTAGTATTCACTAGTTGGTATTGTAGAGGATATGCTGCGCTGTTGCTCAGGCACATTTTATTATTATACCACTTTTGTGTTTGTGATTTTGCGGCCACTTTTTTGAAACGGCTCAAGGTCGAGGCGAACCATGTCTTCCTGCTGGAGCCCCTCCTCAACGCGGCCGTGGAAGCCCAGGCGGTGAACCGAGTGCACCGGGGGGGACAGACGAGGCCGACGACCATACACCGATTCATCGTCCGAGGAACGATTGAGGAGGACATCGAGAGGTGTGGGGCAGACGCATGGTGGTGGTTTTTCTTGATAGTCGCGAGGTATTGGAGGGGAATCGAGAGATGAGACGAAGGCTTCATGTGTTTGGGCGTTTGTTGTTATCCGTGATAGCACGGTAGTTTAACCGCAGAAGGCATTAGACAGGGCTGATGGACAGGGCTGATGGACAAGGGTCAGTGTTGTGCTGGTGATGCTGCTGTTTTTTTGTGGTGTTGCAGTGTCGGCAGAGAGGGCATGGAGAGACCAAACACTAGAGTATCATTGTTTTTTTCTGTTGCTGTACTTCTCTGCCCTACCCCCCCCCCCGGCCATGCAGGTTGCGCAAAAAAAAGACGTCGCTCGCGAGGCTCGCCACCTCCCCCCAATCACCGACACGCAATCCGCGCGGCAAGGGCAAGGGCAAGGGCAAAGGGAAGAGTGACCCCTCCTCTCCCGGGCGCCCGGGCACCGCCGCCGCCGCCGCAGTCGCCGTGGCCAGAAGAAGTCTTGCAGGTGACATGGCAGTGTCGGAGGGTAGGGGAGTCGAGGCCGGGGTTGGAGGTGCTGGCACAGCAACCGGCAGTCCAGGGTTCGAAGAAGAGAACCGGCGGGGGGCAGCGGGGGCCCGCGAGTGCTCGACCGGGAGGCTTGCAGCCGGGGGAGAGCAACCGCAGATCGGCGGTGCCGGTGGTCAATCCGGAGGACGAGAAGAAGACAAAAGTATTGCGCGGGAGGAGGAGGAGGAGGAGGTGGAAGAGGAGGAGGAGGAAGACGAGGGGGGGGAGGAGGTGGTAGAACAAGAGGAAGAGGTTTCGATTGTCGGGGGCGTTGCGGCGACTTCGGAGAGGAGAGCGCTTTCTCTGGACGACCTCAAGGCCTTGTTCGAGTAGACACCCGCGCAAGGTAGTGATTGGCCTTGGCCGCAGCCCCTTGTACTTAGCCCTGCAAACCTTTTTCCGGGGCGACGGCCTTCGCCTTCGCGGGCAGGCTTCGCCTTCCCAACCCTGTACGGTACGCCCGCCAGTTTAGTCAATGCGGCTGCAAGGATGCAGATGTAATGGATTGGATGTACAAAAAACGGCAAATGTTCATATACGCCGCGAATGAATGTTTTTGTGTCAGTGGAGACCTGGAGATTTTCTTGTCGGTAATGGAATGGCGTGGGCGGTTGTCGGTTGTAAACAGAGCTTCGAATGTAGTGTGTGATGTAGTTTGTTTGAGTGACCCTGGACGATTTGCCGGGCGCGGCTTTTGATGGGAAAAGCGTGGGATTCGCCAACATTTTGAATTACAAAGGGAGGCTAATCGAGAATGTCCATGCTTCTTGAGGGAAGGACGGCGGCACCCTTGCCCACGGTTGTATCTACATAGCGCACGGCTTGCGCCGCAGAAAAATCCATGTGTGACCCCAGATCGGACCTCTTCAGTCACGCGTTAACATGTGAATACATGAAGGTAACCACCGCAGGGGGGTAAAATAGAAAGGCGGCGAAGAAAAAAACGCCCCAGGAAAACTCCGGTGTTCACCTTCCTCTGGTATGACCCCGCTGTGGTGCGAAAATGTTAGATGGGATGAAAACACGACCCATACATACATTGAGTGCTTCATTTGGTGATCTGCAAGGTGAACATTGTAATTTGGCAGCATTCTGACGTCTGGGATCTGGCACGAAAACTCAAATTTCGGCAACGTCACGCGAACTGGGATTCAAACACATTGTGGAAAAAGCGATCACGCGAAAGCAACCCGTTCGACTGTACACACTCCGTTCTTGAAGCATCTGGACGAGGAAAAGGCGGCGTATTTCTCGCTAAGAAACTAGGCACGCCGCAATAAAGAAGATGACATGAAAACTCGAGTGGGTGTAACTTGGTTTGTGTCGCCCTTTCCTGCGTGAGCCCGCGTGACGCGTCAGATAAAGCCCCAAGTCACCATGAAGACTGTGGGGCGATGGGACGCACGCACACCCTGACATATGCAGATTTGATTTATATTCGTAGATAGAAGTTTAGGGCGGAATGAAGGCAATTTCTCCCTACTCTGTCGTAATGGCATTTGCCTTGGCAGCGACAATGTAGTACTACGTAAAGTGTGCAAGTGTGGGGGACGGGGATTTGGGAAATAATTTTTCGCCGAAACGCAACAAAAATGCGGCGCAATCTTTCAACAGGCACCGTATAGAGCTATCGTTGAAGGCGGGAGACATATCGCCCTGTCCCAGCACTGCTTCTGTGTGCTGCCTAACACCGTGACGATTGGACGAAATTCACCACCGGCGTGCCTTCGCGGCTTTTGTGGTGCGCAACCGGTTAGGTAGGACGCTGTGGTCAGTAGCACCGACGCACGATGTCAGCGCTATTCGACGATGCCGAGAGGTTTGATTCACTCATCGTTGTGGGTGACACTGTACGGCGCGTGAAAGACGCCACAGAAGAGCATGTTGGCCCAGGAGCATACAGGTAAGCACACACACGTGTTCAGGTGACAACCGGTTTGATTTGAGATGCTGCTGGTGAAATTGGTCGCGTTTTCCGTAGTCTCGAGCATCGATGACGTAGGGTTGACCTCCAGCGTATTGAGCGGTTCACTCGGCGCAATCACAGCGTCGGGCCTGCGAGCTCCAGATCAGCGGGCGTTCGGCTCCAATGAGCGGCCTAAAGTTGGTGAAACCAGGTAGTATACCATGTAGTTGGGCTCAAGGATGAGACGGGGGAAGTCTACACTGTCCGCAATACAGGCGCCGCTGGACGTTTGTTTACTATGTACATATGTAGCATCAGACCCAAGCCTGTCGAATGAGAACAAGCCATCCCCGCAGCCCGAAATGTGGCCGCTGCCGCCATGGGTGCCACATGTACAGTAGATCAGTTTGCACCAACATGTAGCTCCCTCAAACTATTGAGCTGTTGGACAATATCTCCCATGATTAGGGGTTTGTACGTAACAACATGGCTTGATTTGAGTCTGGTCATGTAGTCTAGGTTATTTCCTACAGTATGTAGAACCCTGGCACTACATGTATACAGTAGTAAGCTGTTGTGTGGAACTCACGACGACGTGATCCTTGTACTACGCATGCATGTGTTTTATCTGCATAGGGGTACGTTTTATCTATTGTGCGCATCCTCGGGATTGCCGACAATAGTGGCTTCTAACGCTACTCACGGTTCTCTGTCCTAATCACGTCTTATTCCTCCTACCGCTGTTCCTATCCTCTCCTTCTGTGTCTGGTCGTGTCGCTGTCGCCGTCGTCGCCAATGCCCTACTGTGGATCCGTCGGGACTCAATCTTTTCATCAGTCCGAGCATGGCCAAGTCCAAGGATTTCGGCCACATCGGCGTGTCCACTTCCAGACGATCCAACATGGATCCTCCGCTATCTCCAAGAAGTACGGAACACCAGAGGTATGAACGTCGATGAAGCTTACCTCTCGACGCCGTTTCTGTACATACATCCCGTAGCTCCTCCACAGATGATGCTTTGCCAACCCCGGTTAGTTGCAGGCTCTGTAAACATCTATAGCGTGAGGTATGTATATGGTGATAATGCAGCACAAAAACAGAGCAACGATCCTTTGTTAGAACACAGACCGCACGAACACACTAGGAAGACCGAGTACGCCCGCACATGTGGAGTCAATACAGGGCGTCCCGCAAAAAAACAACTGTGAACTCCCTGCGTTCGGCGTCTTGAACCGCTAAGGCACGCGACCGGTTCTGTTGTCCGCGACGGGGTCTGGTTCCACCCCTCTCCGTTCCTGGCCGCGGGGCCGGGTCCCGGCGCTTACTCGCCGTCCATCATATCGAGCGACCACGAGCGGGGAAGGACGGCCAAGCCCTCTTCCGGGGCGGTCGGCCGACAGGTGCTAATCGTCCGATGCTTCCAAGCACCGTTCGACCGTTGTTGTTGAGCGCTCCGTCGTATCATGCACGTCGTCCTTCATTCCGCGAGAATAACTTGGTCATGTGTATATTGTATGCGTACGAATGTCAGGGTACGGCTGCGGAGGTTTGCGCCTGGTGTGACCACGCCAATTAGTAGGGATAGCGACCCGTGAAAGGATGACGAAGTGATCCTTAGTGTCCGGGCATTCTTCTTGGGAATGGTTGGTACATCGATGCACTCTTGTTTCCCTACCTTGCTATCACGGGTCGTTCCGGGCGACAACTTCGTAGCCTTGTGACCCTTTACCGAAGCGGGAAAAGCGGAGGAGAAAACCAACAACACTAGAAACCCTTCAGCTTACCGTCCTCCCGAACGTTCTCCAGCCTGGGCGAAAAAAACATACCGACAGGTTTAGACTGTCGCCCAGAAAAAAATAGATGTGACGAAACGTTTCCTGCTGGTGTTTTTGTTTCCCATGCAAAGAGTGGAATTCGATGTGCAACGTTCTCTTTGTCTTGAAAATTTGTCTTCCGTTGCGTGAAATCGCATCGGTTTGTGTTCCGTTCCACGTGTGCATCTTTTGTTGGCCACCAAAATTCGTTGTCCGCTGGCATTGAAAATGTACGAACTTCCCAGGCTTGGGACCTCAGGGGCAGCGCCGGCGGCACACCCCTATCGAACTTCCGAAACGGCTTCTCGGTGTCGTCCTCCATGGGAACGACCCCTCGCATGGTTGACTTCGCTCAAGGTGACATGCTTGGTGACAGGCAAAGGGTTTAACGAAGCTGAGGCGTCAAGAGGGGTGTGTAATTTGAGCGGTTTGCCTTGAGGGAATTTGTACGAGGTGAATGCTCGTAATGGGAGTATCGACTCCGAGGGGAGTTCTTTGGTTCGGTTGGGGGGGTATAGTTATGTCGTGTGGAGGGCGTTGCGATGGACGTATGCCGTGCGAGAGGCATCGTGCTAAAGGGCGTTGTACCGTAGAGCGTGAACGCGAAGCTTGGAGTACTCACACAGGAGCGTACCAGATACGCCATTGTGTGTGGTCGCGTATTAAGTAGTACATCCCAAAGATTTAACGGGGGTGTCAACAACGTTTTAGCTGTTTTTCACACGGTTCGATTCCCTCACGGTGTCAAGACCTCTTGGTCGCTGTTGTTGCAATGTTCATACGAAATAGCCGTTCCGATGCCATCTCATTTCACCTCTTGGGTCATTGTCGCGTCTACCAAATATATTTCCGTGTGGTTGTATGCATCATTCGAACCTTGGATTTGGCATACGCTATACAAGTCGATTAAACTATTCCCGCCACTTAGCGCGCACAACAGGGAATTCCCGAACCACCAGCTGGAAGCCTTAAAGAAAGCATAGCCCATCGCCCAAGCCCGAAAACTGCAAGTCTAGTACATATCAATATGGCTGAAAAGGAAAGCGCCACTTCTGTGTGTAACAACCTCGATTTTTTCGACAACATATATTCGCTTCTACCGTTGTGATTGAGCACAACGCATGGCCGAAACAATCGCAGCCAGCACCTCGACACCACGACACTGCTACGCGCCCCTGAACAGCAAAATTGCGAAGCTGCTTCAGCGAAAGCCGAACTGCAGGCGCACCGAATGACCTCGCATCACTATGACTTACTGCCGTGCAACCCTTCCTGCTCTTTCGACAACAACAATATCTACCTGCGGCGTGCGTACGCGCTTCGGTCGTGTCAACCATCAGTCGCGCTTCGCGACGGGGTGCTCCTTCTTCGTAGCGCCAACGACGGCCACCGTTCCAACGGCATAGGTCCCGGAGAATATCACGGTGAGCCTACACCCTAATCCCGGGAGTGTGCCTGTTTGCAATCTCGGTCTGAATGGTACGGCGTATGAACTGGGCAACGAACTCGGTCACGGAGGATATCGTAGCGGTTAGCCAAGGACACTGTGTGTGTAGAAGTTAGCTTTTGTGCTGTGTTCGGTCCCGCCCGATGTTTTTTCTTGGTGGGTATGTTTGGCGCGGTCCTGTAAGAACTTTTTACAGACGCGTGTGTGGCATGGTGCCGTTCAGAAGAGCTTCCACATTAACGGTTGCTGAGACCGTGTAGCGCACGGCGGAGCTCTTGCAGACGCCAGTTTGAAATAGCGGGCTTTTGGCCATCCCACCTCTCTGAAGGCCTTTCTCGTCTGGCACGGCTGATACGATCGGCATATCCGCAGCGAAACCACACCAATTCTCAGAATTCGTGAGTACTTGGAACATAAATGACGGAAGTGATACAGTGGGCACCTTTGCAACGAAACCAAGCCAAGAAATAAGAATGATGAGTATTTGAAATATCGGAACGCGCTTCTTGTGAAGGGCCCCAAGGTCTATAACGACACTACAGTATCGACGTGTGCGTGGTGTTCGCCATCCAAAGGAAGTTCATCGCGAGTTTCCGGCTACCGTACCCCTCCCGTGATGGCCTACCTTCTCGTGATTTCAGGCGTCAGCAACGGCCAGGACCCCATGACGAAACGTTCCTACAACATGAGGGCGCAGAGCAGCCAAATCCGGAGGGAGCGCTCCCTCAGGTATCCACACTGCCGTTCTCTCTTTGACCCGTTCTTATTACCCTCACCCGTTGACATCCCCGTCGCGCTTGTGGCAAGCAGACTGGTAAGAGTTCCTTGAGCTACGTATGCTACATGATGGGCGAAGTGCAGGTATCTCGCCTTATAACCGTGTTGTGTTCAACAAGTATTGAGGTTCTGATTCGTTACACCAATGCCTGATGCATGCAAGATTTAGGCAGCTACTTTCACATGATTGGGCGGCCATACAAAGTCCAGAACTATTTCGAGTTTTCCACTGGTCATTTGCGGTATCGCCTTCGGTGGGTCAAAGAATGGAAAATGTATAGCGCTCGCGGATGACGAACGTGCCACCGAACCGTCCCAGATGAACAGACGAAAGCAACAACCTTACAAGGTGGCAAGATGAGTTTTGGCGGAAAAGGCCCGTGTTCCAGCGGGTCCAGGTCGGGTGTCCGTAACGTCCGTTGTCTTCTGACCTCTCTCATCCCCTCCCGACCGGGTCGGTGAAAACCGTTTTTCTGTTTCGCCCTTGTTCTTCGTAGCTTGCTAAGAGGCTATTTGGACTGAACAACACTCGTCGGTGTTACTGAGTACACCCACCGTCGCCAGGTTTGAAGAACCACAGCCAACAAACGCGATATGAACACACCCTTCCCTCTCTAGCCTAAATGGCACATCGCTCACATCAAGACCCAATCAGGCCTCCGTTCTTCTTGGTGTTTGCTTTCGCGGCACTGACGAGCGACGGTCAAGTAGGTCTTGTGGATGATGGGGTTGAGGACAGCTTACTCTGAGCCAAGAAGAGAGTCACGACGATCAGAGTAGTGAAGGGTAACTGCGAGGCAGCTACAGCGTCGGTGGCGGCCTCTGATAGAAGACATAAGACTGTCTGTCGTACGCAAAAGCCACATTCCGCACACAAGCAAGCACGCGCGAGACGTCACATCCGTAAACACAGGGATGCAGCTCACTCGTCACGCTGTGTCTCACCAACAACGCCTGGGAGATGTTCTCCACTCCATGCGCTCTCCGTACCGTCTCCGTGGGGACGCACAATCAACGGTAACACCGACTACGGAATACTGTCCTGGGCAAGTAGCCCACCCCAACCGTCCCACCGAAGAACGACTACGGAACACTGCACTGGGCAAGCAACTCCCCCCCCCCCCCCCTGTCCCACCGAAACCAACATCACGTGCCCCCCCACCGACTTACAGCTTCAGCGGAACGTCGTCCACGGCGAAAGCGTTCCTGTCACTGGCGTCTTCGATGGCCAGAACAGCCCCTACACGCTCCAACAAAGAGGCGGCGAGCTGCCGCCCCGACCTCCACCTTCTCGGCCGCAACACCTACCCCGCGCCGGGAGGAGTGGGCGGGAGGGGAGGGGACGGACGGAGCACGTCCCCGGGGAAGGAGAGGCGGTGCGTGTCCCCCGCCTCGGCGATGCTTTCTTCCATGCGCGGTAGGGCGGCAGCGGCAGCGAACGGGAATGGGGCCGCCGCGACGTTTGGGTTTCGATCGGGGGGCATGAGGTGCACTCGATAGTTTTCGTAGTATACATAAAAGGTTTTTTTCTAGCGAAAAATCAAACGGATCAGGGGAGTTCGGAAAAATACGTAGATTGGAAACGAATCGTGAACGTCATGACTTGAGCAGGTTTTGCATTACTGACTTTGCGGCCCATGGTGCGTGCTTCGATACAAGGCAATACCCCACCGGAAGCAAGTAGCGGCACGAGGGCGCGTTGTCCCTAGATTTTGTACTCCTCACCGGCTGCAGGGCCGTCAGGAACACATCTACACGAGAGGCGCTTCTTCTTCCGCCAACCCTCCCTCTTATCCTTCCCTCTTCCCCTATTCCCGCCGTGACTGCACCCCCTCTGTAAAAATCGGCTTCATTCCCTACAACGAAAACACTAAAAAACGCAAATACACAGCACCGACACAGGCTCGCGCAGCCTCTCTCCGAAGGCGAACCGCGGCCGCTCCGGGTTCGCAATCCGCGGGGCCGCCGGTGGGCGGTACGGCCGTGGCGATGGCATCGGTGGCGTCGGCCACGGTCCCGCCACTTTTCACCCTATTTCTCAGCAGCAGCAGCAGCAACAGCAGCAGCAGGGGCGCGGTCGCCAGGCACGGACGACAAGCAGTGGGGCGAGCAGGGAGTGTCGTTCCCTGTCACCGCGTGGCCGTGACAGCGGCGGGAGGCCGGTCGGCGGTGGGAGGGTGAGTAAAACGACGAGTAAGAGATCCAGACAGACAGGCAGGCAGGCAGGCAGGCAGGCAGGCAGGCAGAACGCTTCGAAACGATTATGCTTGATCACTACCACTTCTCCCCTCCAAGCTGAGAGCAGTGTCGTTTGGGATGGACATCGAAAGTCGCCCCCCCCCCCCCCCCCTGTGGGAAAATGCATGTTCTATACCCCAACGCCCTTTTTCTTTTTTTCTTT